GGCTCCGCTAGGAGCCCTCCCTGACAGGAAGGTAATAATTAACGCAGGGCGCTAATTGTGTAACTTTGTATCCCGCTAAGATAGAGGCTCTAGCAGGCTACTAAAATGACGCCTCAATACAATTAATTGATGTTGCAAAGCTTTGCGCAGCAGTCGCTTTCTATAAGTTAGCCACCAGAGTCCACTTAGATGACCTGGTTGTTAACACAGCTATCAGTATCGTCGTTATCGCTGCGGCAGCTGCTACACTAACTGTAGCTATCGCGATAGCTTTTTAGTGGTTAGTTTTTGATGCATAGTACTAGCAGAAACGCAGCCAACCGCTGCCCCCCTCGCTACCAATTGGAATCGCGTTTTGACCTTTCCTAATAGAGTATGTGGCATAGGTAAGATAAGCACTAGCCATAGCTTTTTTTTACTAGAGCAAAACTAACAAAACGCTGCAAGGGCTAATACTTAAAACACCCGCGTTTTACCGAACACGATAGCGTTTTTAGCTGCGGTTCAAAAACGCAGCCCAAATCCGGTAATTAAAACGCAAAACGCAAAACGCAACCGAACAGGCCCTACATAAAAAGAGGCCAATATTCTCCTAAACCTCCTACGAAGATAGAAAGCTAGAGCGGATAGAACTAGAAGTAATTAGGATACAAGGACAGATAGATTTTATTATTACTCTCATTATAGTTAATTCACCTAATACTTTCTTGCTAGTCATTTTAACTATATAGAAATAATACTTTTTAATTTTATTACACAGTGTTTAGATCTGTACTTCTCTTACTAGGTCCGCACTAAGGCTCGTAATCTTTACGTTAGTATTATGTAGGATTTATCTAGTAAGTGTAACGGCGCAGGCAAGAGAAATCAGATTCGTTTTAGAGGTAAGGTCACTTAAAGACATATAAGAATGCGTAGAACATAAGAAATCTAAGAATCTAATTAAACACCTACAGGCCTTATACAAATGTATATTAAAAGATTATAGACTAAGCTATTATAGGTAGTTAGGTTTTTGTTCTAGCAGCTCGTGCTAAGTCTAATAGTAACGTAGTTCTGAACCTTCCCAGATATAGGTCGTGTCAGTAGCTTAGCCGTTCCACTCTGCTGTTATCGCTAGAGATCTGGACACGGAATTATTGTTAAGCTAGAGCGCTGCGGTATGCTACTTCTTTAGCACGGAGGGAAGTAATGAGATATTGGACGACTTTTTGCGGCATCTTGCTGTATAACTCTTCGACCAAGATGCCACTGTACCGGAAGACGTTGTTAATATGTAGAAGAAGTTAACTAGCTCTCTCCTTCTCTCTGACGAGATTATTAGTATTATATTAAGTACTACCAGCAATGCGCTAGTGGCATACGCAGTTTAAGACGGCCTCGACGAACGTCCCTTCTAGTGAAAATGTTAAAGCTATAGCCTAAGCTATTGAAGATAAGCTTGCAAATCTTCACTACCTTACGCGACCTATCTAAAACTTGCAACTATTTTAATAAGTCGTCGTATATCGAGGTCTTGTCTATAAAATACTATCTAGCACGCTATACTGACTAGAGGTTATAAGAAGAGAGCAAAATTAATTACAATCTCATGCCGCAGTCCCTTAAATCGGATCTCACCTCTATAGTGGTAAATTACGTTGATGGCTGCTTCCTAGTAGCACGGCTAATCATGAGATATGTAACTAACTTTACGACTATTAAAAAGACACGCTAAGCTCTTAAGTCGCCGCTTATTAATTACGAAAAAATATACAGAAGGACGATAGAATATATCGCTAAATAGAATAATAATCGCAAAAAGCTAGCGGCTAAGATTATAGTATAGATGTGCTATGCTAAATGGCCCCTGAAGCTCGGGAAACTGTAATAGGTACTAGTAACAGAAGAAAGAGAGGAGAAGTTTGATCCTAGGAATGTAGAGAGTGCGAGGTTGCTTGTATTTTATTGCCTTAGTTTAGTTATGCTGTCTAAGGCTGATCGCACTCTAGGCATGGTGCATAAAACCGCTTTAAAATTTATACAGGCGACGGACATCGTTAATAAATTCGAACTCTACCTACTAATATCGCAGAAGTGCCTGGCCTATTTGTTGGCTAAGGGAATGCGGGAGGGCCCCTGCGAAAAGATCGAGGACCGGCAGGCCAGGCTACAACACGTCCACTTTCTTAATTGCGCTGCGCACTTCTTCAGCTACTACGCTAGGACGGTAGAAAAGTAGCGCCTTGAGTGACTTGGAAACTTACTTCGTGATAACTCTCTGCGAGGAGCTTCGTAGCAGGTCCTGCATATCACATCGCAGAGAGCTGGATCTTGCAGCCTATATTTTCCGCGACATGCCCCGTTCCGAATTGCCATCATATGTGGCTTCTTACTGGGACTTCTTAGAGCTGCTTGTTAGGTTATTGGCATGTCCAGCTACCCACCTATCCTAGACGTTGTTAGGGTTGCGTAGATAGAGTTGCGAACAAGATCTCGTGGAGAAACTTTGGTCCTTAGTGGAGTACGGCGCTCGGTGATGAAACCCGTTAACTCTTATGAAATCTATTGTATTTGACTTATAACTATATTAGTCTACTATATAACTAAATCAACTCTGATAAAGCTTTTGAATCAATTATACACACTCTAACCTACCTTGATGTCGATAAGAATTAGTATCCAACTCTGTGTGATACAGAGGTACCTGTTGTTTAGTATAACACTAATCCCCTTATACCTAACTAATCTAGGCAGACGCATCTCTAAATCGCTTCGAAGAAGGCGCATGTTGCATCACCAAACTTCCTACTTAAAGAGCTTGAAATAAAGCTTATATTCCAGAACACGTACTATCTGCAAATAATGCCAATCAAACCTCCTTAATACGCAACGTCTACAGATTAAGTGCCAAGAGGAATAAGTCCTGTTTCTATACTCGATCGTGCGCCGTTAGAAATTTGGATAAATGGGCAGACTGTGGAGGAAGGAGAGTATTTGGCGAACTAACTTTGAATGAGTGGAGCGCGGATCTGTTAGGAAGTAAATTTTGTAGTCATTAAGGACAAAATTTTAACTCTAAATCCCCTTATCACCTTACTACACAAGGAATAATAAAGAGAGGAGAGAGTTCAATTTGCTAGCTAATTGGACAGGTAAAGACTGTGTGTGTTGTTGAGGTGCATCTCTTCCTTATCTGTATATCTTATCCGTCTGGCAAGTCATCTGTTAACACGAAATATGATGTTATAACATCCTATTGATCATCTCAAGCGAAGCCTTAATCAACGCATTTGAAGGAGCTGATGCGATCATTCCACGTATGCGGCGTCAAGTCCGAGATAGGCCCGCCAGCAGTAATAGGGCCTCCTCGAGTTCCGTCGCAAGCCCAACCACTACCAAGCGTAAGAAATTGTAAATTAACCTCTCGCAGCTTTCCAAGATAGGGACAAGAAATATAAAAAAGCAAATGAACACAAAGAAGAGGATAACATACTCGTAGAAGTAGCACTTCTCTTTACTGTCCGCTGGACCCATGAAGATTGAGCTGGCCTTTTTGTCCCAGGTAGCAGCGGCCAAAAAGGTTACTATGTTGCAAAGCAGTCAGACAAACGTTTATACAGAGTCAGAATTGTTTTTAAAAAGTATAGAATAGGGTAGCGAGGACGATAAAAGAACAAGATCAAGATTTCGATGCTTACCGCAGGAACCATGCGCGCTGACCCAGTACTGGCATCTCCCGCCATAGTTTTTATCCGTACAGACGTGAACGTCAGCTCCCATAACACTACCCGTAGCAGCCATGATCATGAGGAGGTAGCTGAGTACTGCCATGATGTCCAGATATAAGGTTAATATTGAAGAAGAGAAGGAGTTCAGGAGAGCTTTGAATGAAGCGCAAAGTTGTTAGTGCTGATGATGGATGAGATAGAAAACCAGCAGATGAAAACACTCCTTATATACACCCATTTGTATAGCTCTCATGTCTATTGAATATATGACTTCATTATCAATGCCTCTATTAAGAACTTTGCAGGAGGAAATCACGATTTGGTGGAGTCTGCCTCTTAGTAGTATGCAGTATTTGTTCAAAAATTACTAAGAACAGCATGAGATCGACTGCTCAAACTATGCTAAGCGTCTGACACGAAGTATGCTCCAGCTGCCAAGCGATTTCATTCAAAGTTGAACCTTTTTGTCTACGGATTTTCTGAGCTTTAGTAGTTGAGGGCCTGCTGACATAGTAAAGAAAAGCTTGGCAAATAACGCTGATTCGCGCTAAAATCTGACCAAGTTCACTTTGCATTTGATTACACATGCAGACTCACGTTCAAGTTATTTGAAGAATGAAGAGCATTTTCCTTTTCAGTGTTAGTATAAGATATTGCGTTTAGACATGTTGCGATCCAAGGCCAGCTGCTTACGAGTAGTCAGTTTAGAGGATTCTAAGAGATGGACTGCGCCGCGATCCTTTAACCACGTCGTAGTCACGTAAGCAATCGTACAAAATTAGTTATAACTAGCTAATTTAAAGGTGATTTATAAATAATTGTTTAGCTACTAATTGAAACTACGTTGTTTAATTAATCATCTATAACTAATTACTTCTATAATTATTTCAGAATCACCGTATCCTCTTAGTAAATGTTATAGATATTGATTATATGGATAAGCACTTGACTCAACGGCTTGATGACTTTGCGGCCCCAGAAAGGTGTTAGGATATAGACATCGCTGTTCAGGGCTTGTAAGTTCTATCATGTCCATCGTTGGATGAACTGTGGCTGGACACAACCTGAGAGGAGCAAAACGAGCGTAGAAAAAAAAGCGAAGAATCGCTATGATGTACGAAGAGGGGAAGTATGTCTAACACCGTTTTACATGCTAAACAGTTGACTTATAACATCATTGAAACTGTGCCCAAGTATAGTACGCTGTATAACTGTTTGCAACACCCTTGCACAAAGGATGTACTCAATGGTGGAATGTTTCGCCTAGGATACGAATTCCATCTCCGGTACGTCTCATGGTAGCTCAATACATCTATAGGTTGCCGCGATATCATACGGAGGAAGAGCCTCATCTGGTTAGCAAGACTAAGTCCAACTGCTACAGCATAGACCAGCGTATAGCGTACGCTAGATAGGATCAAACCAACCTCGGTACGGTCCATAGCTGGTCTTACAGGCGATGAGTAAAGGGACGGGCCAATATAGCCCGTATTATGACTATTTTTGGACCAAGCAACATGTAGATAGTGTAAGCTGCCGCTTGAATGTTATTCCCGCGAATCACGGCCTGTCACCCAGCACACAATTAGCGCCACGATTCAGGGGCATCGACTTAGGCAGGAAAGGGAACTGTCGCTGTTGGCGTTTTCTCTGCTTGGTTTTGGTAAGCTGCTACGGCCTGTTTTTCCTTTCCCAAAATGAATCTAGCGTTTCTCCATTATTGCCCTCAACGAAAAGAACCACGTGAATACTATATTCGTCCTGATAGATTTGGTTGAACATAGCCCTATCGAAAAAAGACTCGACTTCCTTCTAGGATATTGCCGCTTCGAAGGAAATGACTCAACTCTGGGTCCTCTCTAGATCCATCTGCCCAGTCCCTGTCATCATCGTCAGGGATGACTTCCGCCGCTTTGACACCGTCGCCCAAGTCCACCGGGTTCATGTAAAGTTCGTCTTCGCATTGCATAATCTCTTCCTTATTGGCATTGAGGTATGAGTGGACTTGCGAGACAAAATCATGTAAGAATATAGGAGAGCCATCCTCCTTGTCAATGATCAGCGGCTCTAAGGCAGCGTATCGGTCTTCCTCCTCATGCTCGTCGATGTTGTGCTTCTCCTCGCAGACATCGATGTAGACCAAGATGTTGGAGAGCGGGGGGCTTGCTAACGACTCTGAGGCGATGCTGGCGCCAATGAAGGACGTGAGAGAATTTTCGGGATCTTTGATTAGGATGTCGTTCAGCGAACCGAAAACGTCCCAACAGAGTCGTTCCAACAGGTCATCTCGGAGTCGGTTAAGGTAATCTACCACCGGCGGATCAGGCGTATCCTCGCGGTCTACCTCGTTAGGCAGTCTAGGCTTCATTACGAAGAGAAATGAAAAAGCAGATGGGGCTGAAAATTGCAGTTGGGAGTGAAGAGACTGAATGGTTCTCGGTGAGAGCGTGGGTAGTGGTTCGAGCGATAATTATCGGCCCGCACCCAACCTAGGTTCGGGGATTCTCAATGGCCTAGATGGTGGTCTAGTCTCCTGGTCTCCTAGATGATGCGACAAAATTTTACCTATATATTACGGCACAGCACGATGTTCCCGTTGCAGAAGGTGTCTATAGACGCTAGTGGCTGTTAAAACCTGATTTTGTTCTTCAATGGAGACTAGCTGCAAACATCTAACTTGACACCCGTACATTTCGATTATCATGTAAAGTAGGTTCGTGATCCTAGCGGGTCAGCATCAATAAATATGCGTATGCAACACTTAGGGCGAAATCGTAGGGGTGGGCACATCGGATGCGCAACTAGTACTTCATTAAATGCTACAGTTCATCCAGGTATTGCAGCGACACGACTGCGCACTGTCAAGCAAGTTTCCAATCACAATTCAGGACCTGCTCTGCTACGCCATTAACAGCTAAACTATTATTCCCAACCGGTGTATCGACAGATGGCACATGTGGCGGCTCTAAAGGCCTCAAGTGTCAAGGCAGCTTGTTCGAAAACTGTTGTAGCTTAGGTGGATATTGTGGCGATACTGTTTATCACTGCGCACAAGGCTGGTACGTTTCCGACCACTCTATTGAATCCATATCTCCTAACTCTAAGACAGTCATAAATCATTCTTAAGCGCTTGTATTACAGCAAACGTCTCCACTCTCAATGGAGACTGCGGCGCTAGTAAAGGTGGGTACACCTGTGCCAACGGTCCTTTCAATGGCCAATGCTGCTCTGCCGGAGGCTTCTGCAGATGAGTACTTGTCTCTATGATCTGCTGATAGAATTTTGCTCATGTCGTCTCTTCCATGTAGATCGACTGATACCCATTGCAAATCAGGATAGTAAGCTCTCCGCCTATAGACTAACTCAGTTCCGTCCGGCATCTGAAATTTCACAGTCAAAATGGTCATGGTGCTTGCAAATAGTCTACACGCACATATTAAATTGTTTCTACAGAGCTAGGGGCGCAGCTAGTAACACAGATGTTATAATAACACTAACTTGCATTAGCTTGCATTAGGATTGAATTAGACTACCCGTTCACTTTTACAAACTTTCACCTCATACAATTATAACACAGCCCAATGGCTCAATAATTATAATCACTATGATATAAGTCCTGCCTGAAGACTGCTCACACACCGCTCTCTCCCTCCCTAAAGCCATGAACAGCCTCGTCACCACTCCGACATTCAACGTCCTCAAATCACTATAGTGCTGTTGTTACGATCCATACTAGGCAACAAATGAAACCACTCACTAGTGATCAGTTTTGAGGATCTAGAGGATGCACTGCGCCGTAATCCTTCCCGAACGTGCCGCAGTCACGTAACCTACTTAGTAATTTGTGTATCTTAGCACTACTAGGCAACTAAGCACTTTGCATATTAACTTATCAGTTACTTAGTAATGAGTACCTCTTAGTACTACTAAGTAACTAAGTATACTATGTAAAATCTTCATATACATATAGTATAGGTATTAAGCTCTTGTAGCTTAATATGTTTAATTTAAGTTTTACTGTAGAGAGTGATTCTACTTATACGTTACTATTTTTATTTACACTCTATTACTCCATTTATAAAATTCTAACTAATAAGAAGCTTAATACTAGAAGTCTTACATTACTTCTACTTAGGCTACACTCTTAATACATACTTTACATACTCTTACGATAAGCGATGTTCTGATAGATACTCTAACTATTTTCTGGACCAAAGAAACTACTATTCACGCCTATAAGTCTAACATTGTTATGCGGGCAGTTGCGGGTTAGGGTTCAGCGGTGCATGTCGAAAGTTTATGATGCTGGTGATGATGTCAGCAATTGATGATAATGAACATAAGCGGTTATATGCCGGCATTTGTTCTTGTTATAAATAAAAGTTGTACGGCAACAGTTCTACCACAAGGCTAGTCATTTGATTTTCTGGTCACTTTTTTTTCTGGAGGAAAAAAAATCTTGCTAAGTAATAGGTGTTGTGTGGCTCGTCAAACGAGCGACCAAGATGGAAGATCTACGCAATACTGCTTTCGGGCACTGCATCCGCCTCATCACAAGGAGAAAATATCTTCGGTATCCTGAAGAGAAGGACTCAGAGTATTGAAGAAGATACGTTAATCGAGAGAAATCTGATAACGTGGCGTACCATGGATCCACGCAGCCGCCTGAGAAGGCGAATGAAGTACCGGAGCTCCGTAACCGCCAAGGGAATGGGATTTCTGACGTATCCAGAAGCACGCTTGGTGATGGCGTGAATGAACCCAGTGGTGCTCGCGTTGATCCAGAAAAGGGACGTGATTGTCATGTTGTTGACTGGGATGGACCCGGTGATCCACAAGTAAGCTCTAATTCTCGTCAAACGTGTATGGCTACTAACAGTTTCCCAAAGAACCCATGAAACTGGCCCCTAGCAAAGAAGGCTTTCGTCACGTTCCAGATTTGCTTTCTCACCTTCTCGGTCTACATTAGATGTGCCATATACACGCCCGGTCTACAGGGGGTGATGAAAGAGTTTGGCGTTGGCCAGGTGCCTGCGCTATTGGGATTGACACTATACGTTGCAGGATACGGTCTTGGTCCTGTACTATGGTCTCGTATGAGTGAAGTCCCACAGATGGGAAGGTTGTTGGTGTACATTCTCACACTTCGTAAGCTTCCTTATTCCGACATGGCATTCGGAGCCGGGCTAACCTGGGTTGCCGTCTAGTTTTCTTTGTGTTATCTTTGTGTTATGACAGTTGCCCGTGGTTTTCTCAGTCAGCTTTGGTATGCTATTGGCCTTCAGATTCTTGACTGGATTTGTCAGATCTCCGGCTCTTGCAACAGGAAGGGCGATCATTGCCGACATGTTCCGGCCGAAGAAACAAGCCTATGCGCTGACATTCTGGGGAATCAGTGCAGTATGTGGTCCTGTTTTGGGCCCCCTAGTGGGAGGATTTGCAGTCATGGCAAAGGGATGGAAGTGGACGATATGGGAGACTACGTGGCTCTCCGGATTTTGCTTTGTTCTGCTGTTCTTTTGCCTCCTGGAGACTAGCTCGACCAACATCCTGCACCGCCGGGCAAAGCGGTTGAGGAAACTTACCGGTGACGATCGGTTTACTTGCGAGTCCATATCTGACGGCGGCAAGGATGACAGGAAAGGACGTATGTATAGCCAGGCTGATAGTGATACGCTAGTACGCTGCTGACCCGAACAAGATTGTCCTCATGGTTCTGATCAAGCCTATCACGCTCAACTTCACTGAGCTCATTGTCCTCTTCCTCAACCTGTACATTGCATTCATTTGCGGCCTACTTTACCTCTGGTTCGAGTCGTTTCCCATTGTATTCGAGGGCATATACCACTTCCACCTTGGTAGCATGGGATTAGCTTTCCTTGGCATTCTTATCGGCGTCTCTCTCATAGCTGCTATACTTCTCGCATGAAACTATTTCTACCTGGAGAAACAGTTTGATGGAAACGGCAACATTGCGCCAGAGAAGCGGATGTTTCCTGGCATGATCGGATGCTTCTTTGTGCCTATCTGTATGTTCTGGTTTGGATGGTCGGTGAGGGCGGATGTGCATTTCATGGTGCCAATTGTTGGATCTGGCAGCTTTGGCATTGCAGCTTTTTCAGTCTTCCAGGGGGCCCTACCATATCTCAGCGATGCGTATCCCGACTCTGTGTGTGATGGCGGGCAAGGATCTGCAGCGATCGGCGTTTGGTGCGGGGTTTCCACTGTTTGCGAACGCCATGTACAAAAAACTTGGCATCGATTGGGCGAGCAGTCTGCTGGGCTTCTTGGGCATCGCCTTTATCCCGATCCCATTTGCACTGCATAAGTGGGGCAGGCAGGTCAGGTTCAAGGGCAAGCTGGCGAGGAAGGACATCTAATGGACGCAGGTTAGCAAGGGAGAAGGATGTGTACGTGTAAATGTATTTGCCGCGACTTTTAGTCTGATAGTCTCAGCAGCATAATGGAGAGTGTAGATTCTGTCCAGCTGCAATGCACGAGTCAGAGTCAGAAGTCACGACTGTAGCGCATTGGGATAGTGGCCCGCGGCGTGCAGGCTGTTGTCCGGAGATTGCATAGCTGGATGACAGAATGTGGCCTGTAGCCTGTAACATGTAGCTGGTGACATGTGCATGCAGTACACACTACTTATGTAAGCTGGAAGTGGGCGCCCCGTCCCGCGTCTGTGCCGTGCGCCGCGGAGATTGACACTAGCATAGTAGTCCGCTGCACATCGGCACCGCCACACCAGACATGCGCCACAACTATCCGCCACACCTTCCCTTCCCTCCAGCAGGTTTTCGACCACCACGGCGAGTGTAGACCTGCTCACCACCACGCGCACTACTGTTGCTGCAAAACGCCCTGCCCATGGCTGACGTCCCCAAACCCGTCGTCGTCAACGCCCCCGAGCCTCAGCGCCTGGAGAGCTCGGGGTCTGGTTCGTCTGCCGACTCGGATCACGATGCCCTGCTTGGCGCTGCGGACATGGAGCATCATGGCGAATACAACTTTGCTCCGCCTGTCCAGCCTGCCGCTGCCGCCATCGACGATATCGCTCCCCTACGTGAGTCGGGTTACAGCTGGACTACAGCCGCTCCCCCCTCGTCGCGCCCTCGTGGGCCCCAGATCATGACCGATGTCCCACCCGCCACCCAGCAGCCCAACGGCTCTGGCCTCAGCTCCTCGAGTAGAGGCCAGCGTCCTGCTGCTGTGCGCACCCCCAGCAACGCATATGCTCCCGCTCGTCGTCCACAACAATTCTCCCTCAATTCCAACACGCATCGCCAGCGTAACAACTCGGCGACGCGCTCGCGCCGCAACCCCAACGCCGAGTACCGCGCCCAGGAAAAGGCCTATGTCCAGCGCATTCGCCAGGAGGACCAGCAAGATGAGTTCTTTGACCCAGCCTTACGCACTCCCAGCCTTGGCTATAGCACCGACTCAGAGACCGACGACGACTCGCCCTCGACCGCCGACTATGTTGACAACGACCCATATGACCAGGAGACGCTCCTCTACTATGGCAACGACGACATGCAGCCGTCAATTGAGGAGCTCAAGATTCCCGCCAATCGCGAGCGCCTCGAGTGGCACTCGATGCTGGCCAGTGTGTTGACGGGCGATGTTGTTAAGCAGGAGAAGAAGCGCTTGATTGGTAGCTCAGAGCAACAAGGAGACAGCACCATGAAGGCAGAGATTTGGATGGGCATCCGCGCAAAGGTCTGTGGACGCTCTCTGCAGGCACAACGCCGGATAGTCGACGATACAAGAAGCAAGATTCGCGCCAACCTCGAAAGCATCATTTCCTTTGAAGTTGGTGGAGAGGCTGAGGCTGGTCAGACGGCTGCCCAACAGGTTGCGGATATCGTCAAGAAGATTGAAAAGGTGGAGAGTGCCTACCCTACACGACAGGCTCTCGAGGTTGCATACCCCAGAGCAGCCTCACAACCCTACAAGGACGCCTGCGACGCTGTTATTTCTTGGCATAATACCATTGCCCTTATCAACACTGAGATGTCTATCCTGAAGAAGTGGGTTGGCAACGAGGAGTTGGACTTTACCAAGCCCCGCCCTCGCTCTTCTCATGACCACCATCTGACCGATGAGTCTTCGTTTATTGACCGGATACTCAAGGAGGATGGCCTCAAGTCTCTGCAGGGAGACACCAACCTGCTGACGCCTCTGGAAAAGGTTATTCAAAAAGCAAAGGCTACGCTCATTGCAAACGCAGAGGGATTCGCCGACAGGCATCTACCGCCCTACATCGAAGAGTTGCTGACTCTCATCAACTTCCCCTCACGTCTACTTCAGGAGATTATCCGCGTTCGCCTGTCCTATGCCAAGAAGATCAAAGACCCATCGCAGCAAGGTGTCATGATGGCTGAGCAGATGATTGCCCAGTTCCAGATTCTTCTTGCCATGGCTGGCCAGGTCAAGGAAAGCTACATGGTCATCTCGCGGCCGGAGCCTGGCTGGGACCTGCCACCGTGCATTGAGGAGAACTTTGATCAAGTTGTTCTAGATGCCCTCAAATTCTACTTCAAGATGCTCAACTGGAAGCTGGCAGCCAACAAGAACACATTCAAAGAAGCTGAAATCCTGGAACAGGAATGGGATTTTTGCAACAAGCTAGGCCGCCAACTTCAGGGCGGTGATGTGGTTACAGCAGAGCAGTTCAGTGTTCTTACCTCCAAGTCGCTGACCCGTCTCAGTGCGCATTTTGAGCGAGAACTCCAGCGCCGACCCGATGAGCTCACTGGGTCTGAGATGGAAAAGCGCTATAAGCAGATTTTGGATTCTGTTCGTGTGCGACAGCGAAAGCTGTTCCGTTTCTCCAGGATCCTGACACAACGTTTTGAGAACTGCACCGAGTACAACATCAACAACATCGATCTGGACGAGGAGCAGCTGCATGAGCTGTATGAGTCGTTGGTTATTACGGGACATTTCCTTGTCGAGACTTCCAGTACGAACAACACGGGCCTTTACATTGTCGCCTCGCCTGCCGCGCTTGACCGCCCTAATGATATTCAATCGCTGCTTACGACATGCTACCATGCCGAAGAGGCCCCAGAAGACCCCTCGAACCCATATGTTCTCATTATCAAACCAGAGCAACCTCTCTACTGGTCAGGCAAGAGGATGTCGGCCAACATCATCGAGCCCCATCTGGATCTTAAGGCCGGTCGCTTGCGACTTGTTGCCGACGGTTCCCAGCAACGGTTGGCTAATGCAAACATGTCGTTCTTATCCTGTATTGGCATGGAACTGCACACCTTGATCGATCAACGTGCCAATCTTCCACGCGTCAATGCGGAATTGCTCAAAATCAAGCAGACCGCGTACACCCTATCCAATACCATCATGGATAGTGTTGAGATTGTTCGCAGACAAACAGCCGGCCTTGATTGCCAGGATCTTATTCAAACCTGTTTTGCTTTTGCAACAGAATTTGGTCAGCGTTCGGTGCTCTACATGGACTATAACCGTCGAGCAATGAACAACATAAGGCTCACAAGGCTAGCTCTCGATTGGGTCAGTTTCATCTGCGATGATTGTATTGCATCCGACCGCAAAACGTTCCGATGGGCTGTTGTAGCCTTGGAGTTTGCCATGATGATGACTCGCGGTCAGAACATTCTGTCCATCAGCGATGATGAGTACTCCCAACTGCGTCTCAAGGTTGCTGGCTGCATGTCGGTGCTCATTTCTCACTTTGATATCATGGGCGCTCGATCCACCATCGCTGCTCAAGCCGAGCGCCAGCGACTGAATGCCATTGCGGGCAAGAGCATGTTGGACCCTAAGAATGCCAAGGATGACGACGAATCCATCAAAATGACACAGGAACAATGGATGCAGAGGCTTGAAGAGATTGACTCTTTCCGAAAGGAAAAGGAAGCCGAACGACAAGCATTGGGCAGGGTGCTGGAGGACTCTAACGAAGCCGACCGAGCTCTTACCTACCTCTCTTCATCTGCTACCAACGTTACTCTGCGCTGGCAGCAGGGTCAGTTTGTTGGCGGAGGAACCTTTGGATCAGTCTACGCAGCCATGAATCTCGATTCCAATCACCTCATGGCTGTCAAAGAAATCCGTCTCCAAGACCCCCAGCTCATTCCTACGATTGTCGCGCAGATCAGAGACGAGATGGGAGTGTTGCAAGTACTGGACCATCCCAACATTGTGTCTTACTATGGTATCGAGCCGCATCGAGACAAGGTGTACATTTTCATGGAATACTGCTCTGGCGGTTCGCTGGCTGGCTTGCTGGAGCACGGACGCATTGAAGACGAAACTGTCATTATGGTTTACGCGCTGCAGATGTTGGAGGGTCTTGCCTACCTTCATGATTCCGGTGTTGTACACCGTGATATCAAACCCGAGAGTGAGTTTTTTTGGCCTAACCATCAGCTTTTTGTATACTAATTCTATTCAGACATCCTCCTCGATCACAACGGTGTGATCAAGTTTGTCGATTTTGGCGCAGCAAAGCTCATTGCTCGCCAAGGCCGAACGCTCGCTGCAGAACACAACGCTACCCGCCAAGGCCGCCAACGCTCAATGACTGGAACCCCTATGTACATGTCTCCCGAAGTCATTCGCGGAGGAAGCACCGGTCGCCACGGCGCCGTCGACATCTGGTCCCTTGGCTGTGTGATCCTCGAAATGGCCACGGGCCGCCGTCCCTGGGCATCCATGGACAACGAATGGGCCATCATGTACCACATTGCCCAAGGCGATCCACCGCAGTTACCATCTCGCGACCAGCTCAGCGAAACGGGTATCGACTTTTTGAAGAAATGTTTCGACCGCGATCCAAACAAGCGAGCCAGTGCAGTCGAGTTGCTCCAGCACGAATGGATCATGACGCTCCGTGCTCAACTCAGTCTTGAGCCCGCGACTCCAAGCGATACCAATTCCAGCAGCGGAGGAACTCCTCATAGTAGTAGGCAAAACTCTACCTACAACTAATCCCCCCCCCCCCCCTTTTGCCTAGTCCGTTCTTCCAAAGCGGAAGTCTAGTCGAGCTTTCTTTTCTTGTTCCTTGGTACACGCGCGCTAACTCGGCTTCCCTCTCTTCCTTCTTCTGTCCTATAGTCACTTGTCGTCTCTCCTCCCGCAAATCAAGCCTCGATGCCACAAAAACCGGTCCCTTGAGTCCCAGCCTTACGGTCTCGTCGACTTGGAGCGCGGGATCAATATCCCCGCTCCCGCCGTTTACGCCGTCTGCAAGTGGGGGGCCGGGGTTCTTTTTTTGCAGAGGGTAGGAGTGTCTCGTAAGAGTGCAAGGACGGAAGTTGAGTGAAGTGGGAGAAGGGTGCGATCCGGATTGGGGTTTCCTATAAGATTACGTTTCAGTCCGGTTTCTTCTTCCTTTTCCTTATTCTCTATCATCTCTCTGGGCTTCAATTTGTTATCACCACCGCCATCATTATGGCTTTCGCCTTCTCAGTACTTGCCGCTAGCATTTCTTGGCGAGTAGTTGGGAAGTCGGGTCTCTCTTGTGTAACACGTCCTTTTTTTTCCTTGGATATCTATTCTTCTTCTTTTTCCCGCAGTCTTTTGTCTTTTCGTCTTTGCACCTCGAGTACACAATGGATTGGACTGCGAAACAAAAGACAGATCGAAAACGAGTTTGGCTGGGGAGGTCAGCGTGGGAAGGGTTAATCATGTGCATTAGCGATGGCGTTGTGTTCTCTTCTTTGGTAAGGATGGGTAGTATGTTTTTTAGGGTCTTTGTTACCCTAGGAGATTGATTGGTCTGAGATGACCTTTTTTTTTCCTCTTCTTTCTTCTTGTGCCATAAACGAACAAATGATTCGGTTGGATTGGATTTTGGAAGCGAGTACATACATAGCTAAGCAACGATTGCCCCACTGTGAGGCTTATAACATTTCATCAGTTTACTTCTTCTCCTCTCTCTCTCTCATGTGTGAGCGCTACATGACGGTAGCGAAAGTTTGGGCTGTGGGAATGTGTTCAGTCCTACTACTGGCGTAGCAAGACAGATTGCTTGATCTACAGTCTATCATCTATTCCTCAGTCATACTATCGTATTCTCTAGAGGAAAGTCCATAAACATTGCGCCCTCTCCTCTCCGCTCCTTCGCTATATATGCCCGTCCACCGTCTACTTACCGTCACGCATGGTACGGAAAAAATCCATGACACCGGTGAAGACGACAAGCAGGATACCACCTCCAGGACCAAGTCTGAGAACCTTGGGCAGGAAACCCTTGTACAGGGCCGAGAAGCCCTCCTCCCTCATGACGGTGCCGAGTGCAGGCCATGCCCAGTTGTACTTGGGTACTGAGCCGGCAACCTTTGGCGAGTTCTGGATACGCGACTTGACTACGTCCATAGGCGTGTTGACAATGGTACCGACTGTGCCACCAATAGCACCAGAAAGGAGGTCGTTTGTGATTTGACTTCTCTTGTCGGTTGCTTTGGGCAGGAGAGCGCGGACCTGGAAAATGCAGCCAAAGTAACCAGCGTTCCAGAGAATGTGCCTCCACATGGTTGACTCGAGACCCTGGTACAGAGTAAGAGGGCCTTCCTGTCTGATAATCTTGGTAACACAGTCCATCATGCCGTTGTACTTGTGCGCCTGGGCTTTGTCCTGTAACCGAATCTTGACTAGCTCGAAGGGTACGACGACGAAGGATTCGGTTGCACCGGCGGTGGCGCCAGTGAGGATAGACAGGGACTGGTTCATCTTGGATTGACCGAAGAGGTTGCGGTAGAAGGCACCCCACGAGTCGTTGGCAGCAAACTTGGTGGCCCTGGGCTATGTGAGTTGGAGGAAGATGAAGGCAAATAGAGAAATGCGCACCTCTTTGGTGCCTCCATGAGAATGGGAGCGGTGATACCACGGTACAATCTCGAGGCACTGGCAAACGTCAGTCCCTCCGGCCGGTTACTGCCAATGCGTTGTGGCCATACCCCTCATTCTTGATGATTTTCCGGAAGCAGTCTACCATACCATTGTAGCCCTCGTCACCAACTGCCTTGCCAGTCTGAAGTTGTCTGCGCGCATTTAGAGGCGGTTGTGATGTGGTTGGGTGTTTGGTCTCTTACACTCGGGTCTTGACAACGTCAAGAGGATACCTTGAGAATGAGTCAGCGTTAATCGCATAGATGGCAAGGAAGTGAACAAGCCATACATTATCAGGATCTATATGCGCCAGGCCAATTAGCATTGTGTGGCATCACGCGAGCTCGACGAGCGATGAGTTGCGCCCACTCACCTCCGACACACCAGCCACGGCACCTTGACACACAGATAGTCAGCGCGCGTGCGTATAAAATCATAGCCATAACTAAGATGGTGGCAAAAGGTTGCTGTCGCACAACCGAGAAGGCGCATTGGAGCTGCATGTATTTTGCTGGGCAGCTACCGGCAGTTGTGCAGACAACCGCTAAATGGGCATTGAAAAGTACTAGAGCAGCTATGACTTACCGGCCGCGAACTGGTAGACGAAAGGCAATGGCTTCGCATCGGCAGAAGACATTTTGAGGGCAGGATGGTGGAGGAAGAGAGATGTCGGAGAGGCAGAGAGAAGAAATGCCGGTGCAGTGCTAGGAGTAGGAAGAGAGGGATGCACGGCACACAATCTGGGGAAAGAGGCGTGGAGCGTGGGATGTCATGGATTGTATGTAAGTATAATATCTCCAGAAGTGGCCCTAGCTTCCCGTCTTCGGTTGCAAGACGCTGCTGCAACTCTCATTCCCAATTCCACTTGGACTTGCACGCCCGCTTTGGTGGGGGTGCAGAAGCTACCGTTCCTCGGCCTGCCCCACATTTCCAATGCCTGGCCAAACCTACCGTTTTGGACAGAATCTACGGCATGCAATACGTCGAGTAATGTCACTAGACGGCTGCAAACTGATTCGACTCAGTGGTCTGCAGCATTGTAGCCGATGCATGTCCCGCGCAGTCCCGCAGTCCCACATTGCTTGGACCGACATCGCTTGGCCCCAGCGACTTGATGACTCACGTGACCCTGGTCGCGAACTCGTGGCGAAGTGCTATCCTATTGGCTGTCCGTGACGCGTGAACGCGCTCAACTGCACACTGCAGACGTTGAGTCTGCCCGCCGTCCATTTCCATGTCGACACGGCAAAAGTCCTTTTTTGATCAGGACCAGAAGCCAAAGGTAATCTGACAACAACTCATGATCCACTGGCCTAGTACTTATCCAAGACACACGCAGCAATATCGAGGCCAATGGAACCGCTCGCGCAACGGCGCCTTCCCCCACCATCACAGTAATCAGAACCCACCCGCGACGCGACAGATAGCCACAGGTCCTCCCATAATGCCGTCAACTCAGACGCGTACCAAACTCAAGGCCTTTCAATTCGCCGAAGGCGTGCCATCTGTCGCCAATGCCAAGGAATGCGAGGCTGAGAAAGAGAATCTGCGTAGTGTGCCAGGAAAAGGGTCCAAGTCAATGGGAACTCCAAAGATGAACAAGACTCCGACAGATATCGGAACTGGTAACAAGACTCCGAAGTTGCCCACTGTTGTAGACTGCCCGCCACCGTCAACACCGGCCACCACGAGACTACCGCTGGCGGATCTTGTCGGTAACGTCGATGATTCCTCAAGACATGCCCCGCCCGTGGCCTCTCCAGAAGAGCAATTGATATGGAGAGGCTCGCAAGCGGTAAACACTCCATTGCCACGAAAGAACAAGAAGCGCGCCAGGAGTTCCTCACCCGTCGGCCCATCCCAAGAAGAATCCAGGCTGGACTCAAGCAGGCAAGACATCACAACACCCCAGGCCGATCCAGCCATGGAACTTTGGTCACGATACACAAACAACAAGGGAACCCCTACTGCCAACAGAAGTGTAGCCTTTGCTCACCTTATCAACGAGTCATCACCAAGGTCTGCCGCTGCTGCCGGAAGCGTGAGTGGGCTTCGAAGATGGGCCAGCTGTGGCGTCGAGTTTCCCGCATCCAACAGAAAGAAAAGGAGGATGCACGGTGTATTTCAGGCTGAAAAGGAGATTGCCGAGGATGTGTTTGCTGATGTTCCAAGTTCAGATGGTATCATGCTCGGACAGCCCACCAAGCCAAACATTGCGAGTATGGTAAAGAGAATGCGAGAATGCGTTTCAAAATCAGAATCTCGGATGTCTTCTCAATTGCCATCGAGCTCATCACCGCTACCCCGGGCTGGCGATCATCAAGACTCATCGTCCGGCTCTCCTGTACAACGGCGTCCTCGGGAACAGGATGTGGTTGCTTCAGAGACTCTGCAACACGCATCAACATCACTGGGAGACATTATGGATGAAGATGACGCACATGTGCAAGACGGGGAACTTGTAAATGCGGAGCAGACCGGACCTGCCCCACTCGAACCATCTCCAGAATCGTCTGATGATTTTGGAGACGACGATTTCGATGCAGACTTGGTAGAAGCCTTGGATGTCTCGACTCAGGAAGTCAGCCAACTAACCCACTCTACCAACAATGTTAACACATGTCACCATCCTGTAACCGCACTCCCACAACCGCAGCCAGCTGTAGCGGCTCCCTCAAAGACCGGAAGCGACGACGAGTTTGGAATGGACGACGAAGACGACTTTGCCGCTGACCTAGAACAAGTGGCGTCACTGTATGACACGAGGTCGATGGAATCCCTAACAGCTGATCCAGCCCCACCAGCAGACAAGGGACCCTCTGCAGCTACCAAAAACACAGCATCAGCTACAGTCATCAATCTGATAGACGACGACGATGAATTCGACGAGGACATTGACGCTGACGAGTTTGCCGCTGCTGAAGTGGCTGCCACGCAAGCACCAGCAAATACTGTATGTAAAACAAAAACACGCCACTAAAAGAACATTGCTTACTCTCAAAGAGTCAACAGGACAATAGGGCTATTCAGCGTTATCTGGTGAAGAGGGTAGATGAAAGCTCTTACACGACTGACCGTGGCTACCAGATGCCCGAGAAGGTGAGTTGCAGATTGAGCGAGGTATCAGATGTTGTGACTAAAGGCTCTATAGGTCCTCATGGTTGAAGAAGAAAAGACGAAGCTTTTCAAAGCCATCATTCTCCGGCAAGCTTGGTTTGACACACCATGCACAACTGGCTCATTTGTACATGTCATAGGAGAGTTTACAAGTGGCGGACAGTGTGTTGTAGATGATCATAACAACATGCTTATCTTGCATCCAGATCACTTGATCTCGTCAACTGTTGTCGCAGATTCGTTTGGTTGTCTCCGACGAGCAGTGCTTCAGGATCGTGTAAAAGCTACGAGCAGAGCCAATGCACCAATGTTGTACGGCACGCTTCTGCACGAACTCTTCCAAGAAGCCATAAAAGTGAACAAGTGGGATACGGCTTTTCTTTTGGAAACTATTGAAAAACTCCTACCAAGCCACATGGAGACCATACTGGAGATCAACTCAACGTGCGAAGACGTCAAGGAGCACATGAGTAGCAAGTTGCCTGAGCTACAAGCCTGGGCCAAGATTTTTGTTTGCGCAGAGCCACAAGCCGATGCCGTTGTTCGAGAGCGCAACGGGCGGCAGTGTACTATGAGCATCAACAAACTCCTTGATGTCGAGGAGCACGTTTGGTCTCCCATGTACGGGCTAAAGGGCAATATTGATGCCACGGTTCAAGTGACTATGCGAGACGACCAGGGCGAACGGACTCTGACCGTACCGTTTGAAGTCAAAACTGGGAAGAACTCATCGAACGCTGCTCATGTTGCACAAACAGCATTGTATAACCTATTGTTGTCCAATCGATACGGTACGTTCTTCAGTGCTTTTCACAACCTCCAGCTGACCCAAACAGATGTTAACATTGCATACGGCATTCTGTATTACCTTGAAACTTCTGACATTAGCCGCATTCCTGCTATTCGTAACGACATTATCCATATGATTATCAAGCGGAACGAGCTGGCCTGCTATGTTCGCGATCGGATCGATCTTCCACCAGTGCTAAAAGAAGACTTCAAGTGCCAAAAGTGCTATGCACAGGAGGCATGCTTTCTTTACCACAACCTTGTCGAAGAAGGCAAAGGCGATATGCTGAACAAAAAGGCAAAAGAGCGATACGACGAACTTGTAGCGCCACTTCAACCTTCCCATCGAGAATTCATGAAGAAGTGGGACACGCTCTTGACCAAAGAAGAGACAGACATGATGAAGTTTCGGCGAGAGCTCTGGACGATGCTTAGTACAGAACGTGAGAAGTTGGGTCGCTGCTTCTCCAACGTCATCATGGAACCCGGGTCGGGTTTTGAAGAGAAAAATGCCCAAAAAATCAACCGCTACAGCTACACTTTCATCAAACAGCAGCCAACCCCTGGCTTTTCTTTTACTGAATCCCAGCTCATCGTCGGAGAGCCTATTGTTGTCTCAGACGAACAAGGCCATTTTGCACTGGCCAACGGGTACGTAACAAATGTCCATAAGCGGCGCATCACCGTCGCTGTTGATAGACGACTACACAACTCTCGCACCAAGCTTCCGGGTTTTAACTCGCAAACCAACCAAACCTTTGCTGGCATTATGGAAGTTACCAAAGAGGGCGAAACAGCTGCAAAGTATGAGGCCGACGAGGAGCCCGTCCTGTATCGACTGGATAAGGATGAATTCAGTAATGGCATGGCAGCGGCTCGTAACAACCTTATCCAGATCATGGATAACAATGTTTTCAAGGCTCATGACTTGCGTGCGCTGATTGTGGATGGTCGAGCTCCTGCATTCAAGTCCATCAAGGACGCACCTCCGATGCCTGAGTCGTCACAAATGTCAATGAATTCCGACCAGAGAGCTGCGGTTTCGAAAGTCATGTGCGCCAAAGACTATGCGCTCGTGCTGGGTATGCCAGGAACAGGAAAGACAACGACAATCGCACACATTATCCGCACACTTGTTGCTCAAGGGAAAAGCGTCCTTTTGACTTCCTACACACATACTGCTGTCGACAACATCCTTCTCAAAATCCGAGATGACAAGATTGCCATTCTGCGACTTGGTGCCGCGAAGAAGATCCATCCTGAAGTTCGAGAGTTTGCCACCCTTGCAGCAGAGCCAAAGGAAAGTGTTGACGAGCTCGAAAGATCATGGATGCAGCCACCTGTTGTGGCTACCACCTGCTTGACCATCAATCATCCCATCTTCAGTCGCCGTGTCTTTGACTACTGCATTGTCGATGAAGCATCTCAAATCACGTTGCCAGTATGCCTTGGCCCAATCCGCATGGCCCAGAAGTTTATCCTCGTCGGTGATCACTACCAGCTACCGCCATTGGTGCAGAACAAGGAAGCCATGGAGGGTGGTCTAGACGTGTCGCTTTTCAAGCTGCTTTGTGAAGCTCACCCACAAGCGGTTGTCAGCCTGGAGCATCAATACCGCATGTGTGCTGATGTCATGCTTCTATCTAACAGGTTCATCTACTCGGGACGATTGAAATGTGGCACAACCGCAGTGGCTACCCGTACACTGAAACTGCCCAAGCCAAACGGTCTTATGGCATATCATCATAGGCTACAACAGTCTCGGTTCAGTGCAGTACAATCTTGCGCGGGTCCTGATGCTGCTCACTGCTGGCTTTCGCGTTCTTTGTCACCGGATCAGCCTGTGGTCTTCATCAACACGGATCTTATCTCTCCAATCCTCGAAACGCAAGCTGGACCTCGCATAACCAATGCGCTAGAGGCACGTCTTGTCAGCCAACTCACAGTATCGCTACTGAGTCTTGGTGTTGTTGTCGACGAGATTGGCATAATTGCTTTCTACCGCTCGCAGCTTGCTCTTTTGAGACAAGGTTTGGCTGCTGCCTACACACAAACTCAGTCTTCGGAGCTGTCAGCACCGGCGATTAGCAGACAAGGATGTGCTGGTGTTGAACTACACACTGCAGACAAATTCCAAGGTCGCGACAAGGAAGTGGTCATCGTCTCTTGCGTGCGCAGTAATGAGAATGGTGTTGTCGGCGATTTGCTCAAAGACCGACGACGTATCAACGTTGCTTTGACCCGTGCTCGATCCAAACTCATCATACTGGGTAGCGAGAAGACGCTGTCAAGTAATGAACTTCTACGCGACATGGTCGCCCTCTGCCGAGAGAAGGATTGGGTTCTCGACCTCCAACCCGAGATGGTAGAGTCTCATGCATTTGAAGAGGCTGTGACGCAAACCGGCAAAACGCCAGTCCGACCATCTAATTATTCATCTTACGTTCCAGACTCTGCAGTGAGTCAATCACTCACGCCCAGTCCGTGCAAGAAACGTAAAGCCCTCGACGATCTTACAGCCGCTCCTGGGGCGATTAACGCCAGGAGTTCAAAGAGACAGGTTGGAAGCAAGAGTCCTGAAGCGAAGAAAGTACCTGCCAAAATCTTTACAGCCGGGAAGCGCGGTATTCTCGATGGTAGACCGGTACTGCGAGACATTTACAATGACGCCATGTAGCGCCTCATTGAGTTTGATGAGTTTGAAGAAATTTTTGATCATGAACGTTTTCTTGATGGGAGGAGTAGGGTATTTGGTTTGTACCACTTTTTTTTTTCATTACGTACTCGAGGCAAGGGAACAGGATAATGGGATGGAACAGGCTAGGATACCACAGCGTTACCTTTTTCTTCTTTGACTTTTTTTTTATTTATAGATTAGCGTAGGATTGCAAACTTTTAAGCAAGCGGAAATGATACCACAATGAACTTGATTTGCTTTATCGTTCCTTTTTGGGGGTGGACCTTTGCATGTTCTTGGAATATTTACTCATTCAGCGATCCCTCAAGATCAAAAATTAAACACACAAATCGTCTTCCTTACTGCCCCCCTCTTCCCCTCTTTTTCCTCTCGAAACTCAATCTCCACCCTTCTTTTTTTTTGAGGAACTTTACCCACTCTAAAAACCCAAGCCCTCTCTGCTGATCACTACGGCCCGCAAATATAAACTCCATCAGCACTAAACCGGTACTTCCAATGGCCTCGAATAGCCTGAACCCTAGATATTTCGTCTCCGTTCTGCGCGAAAGAAGGTTTACCCGGCCGTTTATAGTCTGGGCGTAAGCTCGGGACGTGCGTTTGCGTACCGGTGTGGCGGGGCTAGAGGAGTGAAATGGNGAAGAATTGTTTGGCTGGTTGGATAATGTTGGGGGGGCTTAGAGTATTTCCAAGGGGTTTTGGTCGATTCTTGAGGTGTGTGAAACTGCGATGGAGAGTTGAGAAGAAGAAAATTTTCAAGGCAATGGAGATGTAAATGTCTTAGTCTTCAGATGATTAGGAAGACATAACCGTAATTCATACAGGTTTGCCGCATTTGGGAGATGACAAGTGGTTGGTTGAGCTTGTGAAGACATTACGAATATCACATTATGAAGCGTGTCCCTGACGGACTAAACTGGGTAGTAGTAGTAGTAGTAGTAGTGCAACCAACCACGTCTCCTTGGATCCATCCAACTACCTCAACCAATCATCAACCAGCCACCCCACACATGCGTGTTTGTTTACAAACTAGCAAGCAGAGCAGGCAAAACGCTGCGGCTAGTATAGGCCCAAATAGCCGAGCTATCATGAGCCCTGAATGTAGCACTGGTCCAAAACGTGTTGCGCTTGCTCTGGAGGCCGTACAAATTCTTGTAGAAGCCGTTGCGCGTGGCTTCTACTCCGGCAACGAGGTTGTAGGGGTTGTGTGCGGAAGCGACGACGAATTCAGGTTCAGGTCCGGTAATGCCGTTGGCGGCGCGGTAGCGGTTGAGGTCAGCCATGATAGCGGCTTTGGCCTGGTCGAGGGTGATGGACTGGCCGAACTTTGTGCCGTAGAAGATTTGGGTGTAGGAGGGGTTTACGGTGGCTTGGATGTTGATGATGGCGGGCATGGGGGGGATGGCATAAGGGCGGTCGAGGGCGAGGTTTAGGACGGTGGAGTTGACTGGGAAGGCGTTTTTGACAATGGTGGTGAAGTAGTTGACCGAGGTAAATTGGTTGAAGAGCTTGAGTTCGTCGCCGCTGGTGTCGAGAGGGGCGAGGTTGTCGGCGGTTGGGGGAGCGGTGATGAGGATCTTCTTGGCTATGACGAGACGGGTGCCTTTGGGAGTCTGGACGAGAACTCGGACGTTGCCGTCGATCTTGCTGACACGTGCTGTCTTGATTACCCTGGAGGACAGGAGGAGGGAGTTCGAAGCTTGGAGTTCGGCAGTGATCTTCTGGTACAGGAGGCTGTTGTTCATGACCGAGCTGGTCTGGAAGTTCTGCATAGTCTTGATGAGACTCAAGGAGAAGGTACGGATCACCTGCAGCGTAGGGAGCTCAGCAAAATCACCAAACGCAGAGGTGAGCACGTAAATGGTTTGTACGGCATCAGTGATGTTGTACTTTTGAGCAAATTGGCCAAAAGGAAGCAGTAGGTCTTCGGGAACCGGGTCAGGCAGGTAGAAGCCAGCATCCAGTTGGGGCCACTGCGAGATGACAGCAGCATATCGCTGAATAGCAGCGCCGAGAGCTGCTTGATTGACAGAAGGCAGACCTTGCAGAATGCGGCCAGTCCTGAAGTCAACGTTCTGGCCGTTGGCAGAAGGAAGGGTGATTGGGCTGGTGCTGAGGTTGAAACGGGCAAACCATTGATGCACCAGAGGCTCGTCATGGTACAGCTTCACACCGATATCAATGGGAAGTTTGGTCTCGGGATCCAGGAAGGTCTCCGTGTGTCCTCCGGCACGGTCTTTGGATTCAATGACCACAACCTTCTTTCCAGCGTCCTTGAGTTGGATGGCAGAGTAACATCCCGCAGCTCCTGCACCGATAATTACGACATCAGTGTTGATGACCTGATCTGGGCTGTAGTAGCTGTCCTCCAGCTTCTGGGGACTGGGTGCTGCATTGGCGAAAGAAAAGGTGACCACCGCGGCGGCGGCGACTGGAATGAATGAACGCATAGCTGAAGTATCTTTGCAGTGGGAAGTCAAAGAAAGTGAGTAAGGAGCGTGGTTACAAAGATGCTACTCGTATGCAGGCGTAAAGAATCTAAATGTCAAGACATGAAGTTTGCAGATATACACAATGGTTCTCTCGACTCGGACCTATTTTGCAAGCCATAAGCTGACAGTAAGCCAAAATTAAATTGCGTTTGCGGGACGTTGGATGACAGGCATCGCGACGATAAACTATGTATCGGCATCAATGCTCGATCGGCCTGGAAATAGAGGGGACTAGGATGCTGATGAGGTGCCGTAGAAACTTATTTTTTTTCAATCCCTGTGTCATGTGCTAGGATTCGAGTTTTCTGTGTGTTCTCGACTATTTCAACTCGCTCCATGGTGTAGAAGAAGGAACAAGAGTGAGTGATATGGTTCTGCTCAAGCTCAGCCCTAAAGCGATGTCTGAAAGTTGGGGTGATGTGCCTGATCTGCATCAGCGCGGGCCTTTCCAGTTGTCGTTGAGCGTAAGCCGATGTCAAGATTTCCCCTTTACAGTAGTTCTGGCTAAACTTGATCCTAAGATTCGCCATATGGTTAACATTGCGAAAGCTTACGTCACTCAAGCGCCATAGCTCTTCGGTGCATTGACTGGTTGTTCTAAATGAGATGATGTTTAAAACCCATCCGTTATGAATATGGTCAGGAGGCTAGAGGCTAGACTCTGTAGTCCATATTTGTAAGTCTGCGTGTGCGTGGTGCAATTTAGCTGTAAGTTAACACAACGCGTATGTGTGCTGTATAGAGGAATGCGATTGAAAAAACGCGTCTAGGAGAATCCTCGGCAATTTTTTGATTAGCCGGTGCCAAGTGCTCAGAACTAGTAGTTTCTGCTTACTTTGGGTAAATGATGTTGATGATCAAATCCACAACTTTAATTGTAACGCATTGGTTCAACTTTAAGGAAACGCTAACTACAACAATTTGTACAAGCAGCGAGGCACGCTATTGACAGGATCATAGCACATTGAGTCTATGAGTCCCACTTGTAGATGATTGAGAGGTGACCTTAGCATAGCCATCACGTAATGTGACTAACCTATATCTTACTCACTGAACAGACTAAACAACTGGGAGATATGGGCATTAGGTTCAAAGCAGTATTCCTACAGGGGCAGAGATATCTCAGCTAATACAGTAATTCAAATTAATGCCCTTATGTTGACCGTTCATCGCAGTCCTCATCATGTTTCCCCTAGGTTGCCAAAATAGGCAATAAAAAGCAGACCACAACAGACCTCAGTGACGAAGATCCCCATAGAAATCTCATTCCCAGACTCCCCTATCCCAACGCCAGAATATCAAGATTCCCCCATTCGCGAAATCTCGGTCTCACGCCGCCACCTCTCAGCACGCCCCTCTGCTCCTCCTCCTCCTCCTCCTCCTCCTCCTCTACACGCACAACTCCCGTCGCGGCAACAGCCAAGCCTCCAGACGGATGCACAAGCGACGCAGCAACCGGCTCATCCACGCTCCCCACACTAATAATTTCGTCCGGCAGCACAGCTCCTTCCTTGGCATACGCATCCCTCCACACCCTGACCTTCCCATCCGTGCCCCCAGCCCAAAGCTCATGCGAAAGCGCCTCAATATCATACGGCGACTGTCCCGCGTTCCAAAGATCGAAGCCGAGTTTCTGCTTGGTCAGCGCGCGTCTACCCGCACAGTAGCCTAGGGCCAGCGAGAAGCTGCGCACGTCGTAGATGAGCACGACGTCTGCGTTGCGCTCGGCGACGTAGAGGTAGTTGCCGCAGGGACTCCATTTGAGCGATGAAACGCCGTCTCCTATGATGTCCTTTAGATTCTCGTTGCGGGATTTGGTGCCGCTGCATGCGCCGGGGAGGCCAAAGCTGGTGACTTCGGCGCCGCTGAGGGGATCATAGATGCCGATGTGGCGGGTGCGTGATCCGGCGGCTAGGAGGCCATCGCGCGAAGATGGCGCGGGTGGGGAGAGGGATAGCGCTGAGATGTATCCTTTGAAGCCGCGTCCTCCGCCTTTGAGTTTGTTGCGGCGGGCGGGTATGGTGGCGATTGTGTGAATGGGTTTGTTGGTCTCTTGCAGGTCGAAAATGACGATTTTATCCTGGGAGCCGCCGAAGAAGTGAGCACCGTCGTGGGAATATGTCAGGCTTGTGGGTGCGGTGATGGCTTCGGTCAGATTGTTGATTAGTTTGTATGAAGCAAGAGGTGTCGAGATGTCGACTGGTCCGGGAGTTGGAGGCGGATTTTCCTCGTTGGCGTAGGTTCGTGAAACGTCCCATAGGGCATTGTGCAATGTGATATAAGAGTCTCGTCGACTAACAAGCACGGTTGTGCTATTCGCATCTTGCAGGTTGAACAGCGGGTTGGCTCCAAATGCCCAGATGGGGTTAGGCGAGTGGAAAGATGCATAGGGCGTGAGGCTCTGAGCGCTGGTGTGGGATCCAATGTCGTTGGAGATGGGATAGACGGAGAAGGACCGGTTGTAGTCCGAGGTGAATATGCAGCTTCCATCCGGTGAGAGCTGAGCTTCTTGCACGCAGCTTGTGTGGTGGGGATTTCGTAGACGTTGGTAAGCTGATGATGGAGGCGATGCCGAAGATGAAATGCTCGAGGATGACGGGCTGGAAGACTTAACAGCACCATGTTCACCTTCTGATTCATCATTCTTCACCTCTTCCATAATCTCGCTACCTTGAGCCTCGCCATCCCCCTGATCCTCATCCATCTCTTCCTGACCGCATCTTTTAACCCTCGTACTAGCCAAGCACCTCACATTAATACCAGCACCACTCATGATGTTACCTCGCCATACCCCTTCTTCCTTCTTCAAAATACAATTCTCCTTCCCCTAAACTATAATATCCGTGACGTTGAAAAATCCCCGTCTCAACCCCAGCTCAAAAAAAACTGTCAAACAAGCACAAGCCCCCCTCCCAAAATGCAGGGAAAACCCCCCCAAACTCCATCTCCCCACGCTAAGTTAACAAACCCCCCCGCACAGACACCCCGTTCGCGACTTACAACCCCCACCTCCGAAATCTCCCCGAAAACCGAACCCTCAAGATATTCCGTCATCATCGACAAGCTCGAACTTTTCCCCCTTCCCCAAGCTCAATTTGCAATGCCACCGCCCTCGCCCAGCGCAGCACCGGGGCGCAAACCATGGGTTGAATCACCGTATTTAGTTTCCTTACTTGTAAACATTCCCCGTCCCCCTCTCTCCCCAATTGCCCATTGCTCAATCCCGCAGAAAAAAAAAACTAAAAAAGGTACCAAGCTAATTACAAAGCAAAAAAAAAAGGCAGGAGGCCTCTCAGGCACAACCGTCGACCTCTCGCTCTACCCGCTCGACACGCTCAAAACACGGCTCCAATCCTCATCCGGCTTCGCGGCCAGCGGCGGCTTCACGGGGATATACCGCGGCGTGGGCAGCGCAATTGTGGGATCCGCGCCGGGCGCCGCCCTCTTCTTCGTGACGTACGACGGGGTAAAGCGCAGGTTTGCGGGCGGCAGAGGCGGAAACGAGGCAGCGGTGCACATGGGCGCCGCCAGCTTGGGCGAGGTGGCAGCGTGTGCGGTGCGCGTGCCGACAGAGGTGGTCAAGCAGCGGGCGCAGGCCAGTCAGTTTCCGTCGTCGCGGAGCGCGCTGATGCATATTCTGGCGCAGAGGCGCGACAGCGGCGTGCTGCATGTGTGGCGCGAGTTGTATAGGGGCTGGGGGATTACCGTTATGAGGGAGGTCCCGTTTACCGTCATTCAGTTTCCGCTCTGGGAGGCCATGAAGGCGTGGCACCTGAGAAGCACGGCGAGACTGCAGGTGAGTGGCTGGGAGGGCGCCGTGCTGGGAAGTGTGGCGGGCGCTGTGGCGGCGGCGGTGACAACGCCGTTGGATGTGCTTAAGACGAGGATGATGCTTGCCAAGGAGAAGCAGCCCATGGTTAGTATGTTGACGACTATCATGCGCGAATCCGGTCCGAGGGCCTTCTTTGCCGGCTTGGGACCCCGTGTAGGTTGGATTAGTGTCGGCGGAGCCATTTTCCTCGGGTCATACCAGTGGGCCAGTAATCTACTTGGAGCTGTGGAACAAGAGTGATTTGTACATTCATGTAAATAGTTTTATACAAAAAGTTGTATATATTTCTTACATATGTACCACAGTAACCGAGAAGGGGGGAAAAAAAAGAGAGGGACATGAATTGTACAACAGTACACCACGATACATTTCAACCACTGGTCTTTGGACATGAAAACTTTTTTGAATTCTTCTTACATGCTCCAAACACATACATACATACATACATACATACACGCATATATGTAAACATAACGGTGTGGTACTATACAAACCCACACATGTCAACTATCTAAAAAAAAACACTCCTTCCCCCACTTTCCATAGGAATTGCCCCCCCAACTTCCTCCCACCTACGGTCCAAACACTGCATTACTACCAGTCGCACTTCTTCTCTCAGCCTCACTACTCTGCTTGCCCTCACTAGCATTACTACTTCCAGGTGCAGATGACGCGACACCGGGTCTGAGTCCGTGACTAGTGGGAGGAGCGGTGCCGGATTGTGGACCTGGGTATGGTGGGAAGGGTTTGATTTCCTTGCGGCCATTTGACTTGTAGTAGAGAATGACGTCGCCGCCTCCACGCCAGACGTGGGCGCGGATACTAGCTAGAGTCATTGTAGGGGAAATGAGCTTGATGACGTTAGTTTCCATAGCCTATAAATACACATACCATGCAAAGAAGAGAGAAAGAGAAGAAGAAGAAGAAGAAGAAGAAGAAGAAGAAGAAGAAGAAGAAGAAGAAGAAGAAGAAGAGAAACTCACTTGTCCATTACAATACAGCTCCAAATACTCTTCTGGTCTCATAGGCGTCTCACCATCCGCCTTCATCTTCTCAAGCTGCTCCTTGCTTGGCTGCGGCTCGATGCGTTCAGCGACGTAGCCGAGAATCTTGCGCGCACGCAGCATGCGGTTGGCATTGAGGCGGTTGTTGCTGAGTGTCGAATTAGCCTGGGCCGCAGTCTCAAAGGGAAGAGCAAAGGGAATGTACCCATCGGCAGAAATAGATGGCAAGGCGTTGGCAAAGGGCTCGAGCACAAAGGAAACTTTGACAATGTCCTTGGGCGGGAGTTGGTTCTGCGTATTGGTTAGTACAATTTGGCTATTCAAAGTGGACCGTCAAGGTTTGGGGGGGGAAACTCACCCGTAGTAAGACCTCGGCCAACCACATTGGTGCGGCTTTTTCAATCAAATCAGCCTGCGATGCCAATGTGCCCACTTTGCCCTCGAACAAATCGGCAACACCACCCGAGTCGGGACGATCCTCTTGGATAAGTATGGTCGTCATGGCTGGCGGCTTCAGAACAGGCGTTTCGTTTGGCAAGCTCGGTGCAATGGCCGAATCCAGCCGTGTCTCGCCTGCTGCCAGCTGCTCCTCGTAGCTCTGTCTTATCTTCTGAATCACACCAAAAAAGTTGTCTTCAAACGTCTTTTCGTCAGTCTTGGTAGAGTGCGAATCGCTATCCTCTGCCTTTTCGTCGACGGCCGGCTTGGCGGGCTCGGGCACGGCTGTACCAGTGCTGAACTTCTTCATGTTAAATGACATGTTGAATTTTTTGCCAAACATGCCTTTGCCCTTCTTGGACGGAGTGTCTGTTTCAGCGGGTGATTGAACGGCCTCCTCCTTGGAGTCGGTTGAGCCTTCTTTTGACGTCTCGGCAGCTTTACCATTTCCATTGGTCTCAGGGGCCGAACCAAAATAATCGCCTTCTGACGTCTGGGTCTTTTCCAGCTGCACACCCTCTTCTTTGGTGGGAGTCAGGACAGCGGTGGCTGAGTTGCGCCCTGCACTTGCTGGTCCGGTCATTGGCGTTGCCAGACCAATGGCTAGACCCGGTGTATGGGGTAAGCGGAATCCATTTTCAGCCTTGATGGTAGAAGCTGAAGTCGGCCCGGACATTGCGTCCTTCCAGCCGTTGATGCTCATGTCTGGCAGCTTGATGCTGGTAGGACGGCCAGCCTGTGGTTGCTCCTCCTTTTGCTTGAGCAGCTCAGCGCGCGCCACTTCGTCGCGCTTAATTTCTTCGTCAATGAGGTTTGAAAAGAGATATCTCAAGATCCACTTTCCAAGGTTTACTATGTCATGTTAGCGAGTTTTCTGTCAAGAAAGGTCAAAGATGCTTACTCCTATGGTCTTCCCGGAATTCAATGTCATCCTCTAGATCTAGCTCGTCTGCATATGTTTCTGCATCAAAACAGTAGTTTTCTTCTAGCATGCACGTCAAGGTTCCTATCCTTGTATCGACCGCACACCAGTGAGCAACGCTATCTTGGGTATTGACCTCTGGCAAGACGTCTTCCATGTGTTTCTTTCCAAACGACTTGATGGGCACACACTGCTGAGTGTTAGCTGCTGGGCCCAATGGGTGATCAGATTGCATCATACCTTTAGCAAATCCCACAAGACGACTTCTCCTGCAGTATCGAGGGTGAGGACTCTTCGGCGGTCGTTGAGAAGATGGTGCTTGATGAGTCCGTTCTGGCCTTCGATGGTAAAGTCTGGAAGTGGACGAACCGTGCCCACAGCTGTAGGATCAGCCGCTGTCAATGTGTCTACAGGTTTCCGGCCACTTGCTACGGTGACTGCATCCGTATCCTTGGTGGCAAGGGCCTGAGGAAATGGGGCCGTGTTGGACATGCGCAGCAGGGCTTTGAGTGGAATCTTGGGGGTTGTGCCGTTGGCTGGAGGACTCCGTGATCGCATCGTCGACACACTGTTCCTATGCCATTTGTAGGATTCTGGTAGCTCGATTTCGGCTGCCGTCTCCACATCGTGCCAGCGGTTGATGCTGGAGCTGGATGTTGCGGTCCAGATGTAGTTGCCGGCGGCGATGATCTTGTTGACACCCTCGTGCTCTTGACATACGGCCACGGAGAGACCCTCGTCCATCTCGGTACAGTTGCGGACATCGCTCTTGGCCACGAGACCCGATCGGTCGGACGAGTAAAAGGTATCGAGAGTTGGCGAGTCGGAGTGGAGCGACCATACGCTGTCGTTGTGCATAGTGAGCGTGTACATGCAGCGACCGGCCGTCATGGACCAAACCTTGATGGTCTGGTCCGAGGAGCCGGTCAAGATCATGTCGCCATCCTGAGCCAGGAGGATATCGCGCACATTGTCCGTGTGTCCAACAAACTTTGTAATGCGCTTTCCTGAGCGCGAGTCCCAGACACGGACGATGCTTTCTGGGCCGCCGCTGGCGACGAGGTTGGGTGTTACTGCAAGGGCGTATACGGAGCCCTTTGCCGAGTTTTCGTCGTCGCCGACGGCAATCTCGAGCTTCTTGCCAGCGCCGTTTAGGTCCCACAGGCTGATTTTGCGATCGAGGCCGCCCGAGGCGATCCAGTTCTCACTGCCACCGGGCGATGCGACGCGCTTGACATAGTCGGTGTGCAGGCCGATGGTCTGGGGCGGGAGCTTGTCGGTGGCGGCCGGGCGCCAGACCTTGACGGTGATGTCGGACGAGGCAGAGACGAGGGCCGAGTTGGCTTGGGCGAGGACAATGTCGTTGATCCAGTGGGTGTGGGCCTGGACCTGCTGGCGGAACTGGGTGGGCGGGGGCTTGAAGTCCGGGGGAGTGGGATCGGCAAAAGGGTCGCGGTGGTTGTCGTCGTCGTCGTCATGGGAGCGGTGCAGGTCGAGATGCAGGTCCCAGGCGCATATTACGCCATCGCGACCGCCCGAGTAGAGGATGGCGTTGTGAGGGTCGACGGCCAAGCCATTGACTCCGAGTCTGTGACCTCCGGCCGAGTTTGCCAGTGGCAGGACTGCGCGGGCATGAGGTCAGCGATGGTCGGGGCATTACCGCCAGCAGCAGCAGCAGCACGTACCGTATGAGATGCGCTTCCGCGCGCTGCGTGCCATGGCCGCTGGTTCAGGCGTGCGGGGACATGCGGTCGGCGGCTAGGGTGGGACGGTGGGAAGAAGGAAACACAGTCGGGGCGTCCGGGGGAGAAGCGCGTGGGTGGGTGGGTGCAGGGAGGGCGCGTTCGGGGATGAGGTTGAGCGAGGGCCCCAGGTTTGGTGGAGGAATGCGACTCGGCGAGTCAGGCTCCCTGGCTGGCAACTGCATCGCCAGATGGCTGTGCCGCCGGGGCGGGTAATGTCTAGGAGAGGGCCAGCTGTGGAACCGATTGCGGGCATGGCCAGCGGGCGGCAGGACGACGAGAGCTACGTCACTCTGCTTGGGGCTGTGGCTGCACACTCGCAACGGCCTGAGGTACCTGTGTGTGCATGTACATACTATGTAGGCACGCATACCGGCCACTAGAGACGACCAGCACGGCAGCCTCTGGTGCCAATGATGCCCTCTGCCCGTCCCGCCAGCCTGGCGCGCCTGGCTTGCGGGGAGGGCGAGCGCCTTAGCCCCCGTCTTATTGTGTCCTGGCCCCGGCTGGCCTCGGCTATTTCGGGAAGCTAGCCGGTCCAGGCGTGTGGGTGGACAGGAGTGTGACGCTCCTCCTGCCAAGTATCCAGCCCGACGGCCAAAAAAGAAACACGGCTTGCATCTTGCCCGCCAAAACACCTCGACACAAACGGCCCCTACCCGCTTCGAACCCTGCGCACCATGCACGAATGGCAGTCCTTGCCCTCGCCCCCCCACGGCTCCCGCTCCCACTCAATCGCCTTGACCACCTGGAACCCTCGTCTTTCATACAGCCGCCGTGCCTTTTCGCTCGCATCCAAGTACACCGCCAGCCCCTCTGCATCCGCCTTGCCTAGCCCCCAGTCCAGCATCATGCCTGCTGCTCCGCGCCCTTGGTACTCGGGATGTGTGGCCAGCTGATTCAGCTTGAAGAACGGCTTCTCAGTCCCCATGATGCTCTCCTGCGCCGCCCGCAGCGGCTGGAGTAGCGAGCCCAGCGCATCCACGCGTAGCTCTGGAGGCAAGAAGCCTGGTGCTGCTGTCTTCTCCGCTCCATCGACATTATTCAGGCTCCACACCGAAACCGCTATTGTTCGCCCACCGTTGTCTGCAGGGTCGTCGGGACTGGGCGCTGCATCCGTATCGACAACCTTCCAGTACCACATGTTTGCCGCCTGCTTCTGTAGCTCGCCCTTTCGCTCCTCAGCTGCCCCGCGTATAGACGACTCGCGTATCGGCCCATTGTGCAGCACGTCATGCGTAGGCCCGTAGTAGGCGGTACTGCGAACCCGTGTCCAAGACAAGGCGTCGTCAGCCCTCATGGGCCGCAGTTGTAGAGGCATGTTGACAATGTGTGAGACTGCTTGCTTGCCTCTCTACCAACAGAAGGTGACTACTTTTAACTCCTCCTCTGCTCCTGCAACAAATACTACCGGTGACTCACACGCCTCGACCATCAAGCCGTCGTTGAAAGACGGCAGCCATCCAAGCTCCACCATACACATGTGGCGTACTCGCTTAATCTACCTGCCTGCCCCTTCTGGAACCAGTGCTTACATGTTGCGTCATCCATCCTATCACCATGCCACCTGATAGCCACCAAATTCCAACAAACATTCTCCGACCACATTGAACAAGGTATACTGTCCAATCCCACAACAACATATTTTGAGCTACCTATGCTACACGTCTCTCTTAACATACTCGACAGGCCCTTTGTAGTTGTGCCTCCCAACGAAGTAATAGTAGCTCATTGAGAAGATGATCAGGCAGCCAAAAATGGGGCTGGACCAGTTCATCTCAATCGGCGATGGATGCGGTACCGCAGGGAAGGCGCTAAACACCATTGCAATCGAAAGATAGCACATGCCGATTGCATTGATGGCCATGCCCCATTTTCCGAGATCGAACCGAGATGGAAGAAGGGGTTCGCCGCGAAGCCGTTTCCAGAACATGCAGCCGATGACGATAAGATTAGAAAAGCAAATGGCAATGCCCGATAGCGCCATGATGATGTTGAAAGCAATTGTCGATCCAATGATAATAAGGCAGAGCAACGACGAGTTCGCCAGCGTGACAATAACCGCGTTGATTGGAATGTCCCAGCCTGGAGGTACCTGTCGAGCTTGTCAGCCAGAACCCTTTCAGGTAGTTATCGAAGAACCACATACATGAGCAAGCCATGCTGAAAATGGAAGTCCTTCGTCGCGCGCAAAGGACCACAGCTGGCGCGACGCAGCAGTTACTTGATTGACCGAACAGAACAAAAGCAGCAAGCACACAGCCACTGTCATGATGTTGGTAGCCGCCTTTGACTCAGTCGCATTCAACAAGATCTGGATCCACGGTTGACCAAGCGGAGTCGAGAGAATTGTCGAAAGGTCGTTGCCTAGCGTGGAGAAGATTGTGACTGTCATCACAAAGGCCAAGGTGTAGTTTACTATAGATGTCGCAACCATAGCCCGAGGAGATACCCATGCAGCATCCTTTACTTCTTCCGCTAGATGAACGGCCAAGTCGGCACTTCCTATAGTAAGCATAGGGCCAAGCATGCCAACGAGAGTAGCAAGACCGGTATTGCCCCAGCCGCTAGGATCTTCGAACTTGGTCCACACTCTGTCGGACCGTGGGCCCATAACCCATAACACGACGAGGAAGGCGAAGAAACCAAGGACATGGAGAACCAGTGCAATACCTTCCATCAGAGGAAGCTTCCTCACAAGGATGGTGTTGCACACAATCGAGACGATAGTAATGCCAATGGAGAGGAGGGTGCCATGCCAGCCTGTGACAACGTAGGTTGGCACGTTCAATGCAATGAGACCTTGGATTTGTGAGGCCACTGCGTAAGCTGTCGCAGCCATACCCACCTGCCACCCAATAACACAAAGCCAGCCTAACATACTTCGTCAGCGCTACATGTTTTGACAGAGTGTCAAGAACGTACCAACAATGTAGCTGAGCAACTTCTGGTGCTTCCTTGGCGCCAGCTCAGAGACCCAATGATACTGGCCACCAGCTGTTGGGGCCCTGTAGGCATACGTAAGCAGGGCTATCATTGAGGCTTCCCTTTTCCATACTTACATCGACACCATTTCGGCAAACGAAAGCATGACGAAGAACATGCCGAAGCACACCAGCACTAGCATCCATATTCCGCCAGCTGGGCCGCCATTGAAGAGAGATATACCGATACCACTGTAGATTCAGCCTATTAGCCGTATGTCTCTGTCTGCGAGGGTGTAACATACATCAAAGAATATTCCCAACTGCTGCCAAGAATCACTGCGAAGCCGAATATCGATAGGAATTTGAATTGTCGCTGACAATACATGTAAGTTGGGTACAAAATCAGCGTACGCCTTTATTGCAACATACCCTCAATACCTGGACCTTGCCCATGCGATCCATGTCAAGCTCATCGTCCTGAGTGCCATGCTTTTCGACTATACCAACCGCGTTTGCTAGCTCGATGCTGTTGTGAGACTGGATCACCTCTGACGGACCCTTCATCATGTCTGCCATGGCTCTCCTATCGGGTAAAAGGACAAACCAAACGCGAAAACAGAAATTCAGAAGGCCACTGCGAGAGCTCAAGCTGGCTGGGTTGTTCAAAGTTTGTGGCACAAACGATTGCAAACAGAACTCTTCAAAAGTCAAATCTGCTGTTGGACGCCATACCAGATTCTATAAGCGATATGTAAGGGTTGCAACATGTCTGAATATCTCCCCGCGGACTCTACATGTAGCAACTCGACTGAAGATTATGGCCTGATATGGTGGAGACTTTACCCCCCACTAAACGCTCGCGAGCAGCGGCTGCCCCGTCTGTCGGGTCGAGCCTAACCCAACCGCCCGTCCGTGCCGTCCGCGCCACCTCCCACCTTACCTCCACTCATCCCGCGTATTTTCCGCATGATTTGGAACTCGCAATGAAATTTCATTTGTACTACACTGACTATCTGCTACGCCATCACATGCAAGATTCAACATCTACACCAACAATGAAGGTGTTTGTCTGACAGCTACAGAAGGTATTCCCCTCCTTCATTTATCGCGAGCGTACACGGTACTACCTCCGATGCATCAGAGAGGCACGGTCGAACGTCCAGTCTGAGCCGTATGCACGGAGTCCCACTTCTTTGATTGGCATTCGTAGGATTACCAAAGTCAAGCTTTCCAAGCAGCTCCTAACAATCCTTCTCAACAGCTTGCGCCAATGGAACCTGCAATTTCTCTTGCCACTGGCAGGTGTTCGTCAAATCTCGCGGCCTTGAGCCCGAACGCATTTATCCGGGTAACTACCTAGAACACGTTCTATAGTGCGGCACAGTTCAGTTCATATCAAAGCGGTCCCGAATGCCAGCACCCGATATGCGTTCTGATTTCAGTATGCTAGTCGTTGCTGTGGAGAGGCAGCAGAGATCAGAGTAACAGGGCTCAACCGCACCCACCAGTACGAATCTGGAATGCTGCCTTTAACTGCGCACACAACCTCGACTACTGATACACAGCCAGCAGCCGAGTCTCTTGGCTCTTATCACCTGGCAAATCAAACGTGCCGTAAGGATGTCCTGAAGGAGCCACTCCTGGTATCGAGACGTATTCTCGGGTCTTTGTACACCAGGGATATCTTTCTATGGCTCATCAACTCCAGCGTGATAGAGTGACATGAGTGGCACAGCTGCGTGTCCAACATGCGTCTGTGCCTCATCGCCCACACGCTTGGCTACATTGTTTGAAGTACTCAAAAGCCAATGCTATTCTCGACATGATAGCCCATGAAGGTTCACGTTTACACCTCGTCAGAATATGCGCAAACAGAATGTCACTCTTGCCCACCCCCCACAATTTGATAAGATCATCAGAATACCGCTTCACTCGCGTCACACCAGATGATCACAGTGCAACCATTTGGATTGTCTCGGTGCTATCGGTGATATACGTTATCCTGACACTGGCTGTTCGTCTTGGATACACGAAACGGCGAGCACACGCCCTTGATGATATTGTAATCACTCTCGCACATGTATGTTTCTAAAATTCATCAGCTGCTTCAACATGATTACGCTGACTGGGATATAGCTGACGGGCTTTGGCATGTGGGTTTTACTGTTCAAATCACTCGGGAGTGGACTCGGAAAAACTTTCAGCGTACTCAGTGACATTGAAATATCTCAGGTACAGCAAGTCAGTAAGAATCTTGTGATCAGACTTTTTCCTACTTGAGGACAAGTCGCACTAACACTGCTCATAGTCCTTTTTCAAAAGCCGCATTTTATTGTATGCTGCACTTGCCTTGTCAAAATGCTCAATGCTCGTTCTGATCCGCGCTGTGTTCGCACGTAACATCAATGTCTCGCGCATGTCTATTGGTGGTTTACTTATTGTCGCGATGTGGGGTGCGTTTAGCATGTCAGCAGTCCCGCTACATTGCCCAGCCGAGCTTGCCATACCAAAACGCGGGCAAGACCATTGCGTGGACTTCGTGAGTCTCCACATGCAAAGGCTTCTATGTATCCACATACTGACATCTCAGATCCCATGGCTGCAGGCAGTCACTGTTGGTGACATAATTACCGAGATCATCATCACATCACTGCCGATGCTAGGCCTCTACAACACACAACTACCTCTGAAAAGCAAAGCCGCCGTCATGCTCGCCTTCTCCACGCGGATACCGTACGTCAACTGCATGACCCCACATTCGTCATCTCATACCGACCACTAACTCATCATCACAGCAACATCGCCATCTCCCTATCCTACCTCATCGCCTCGTCCACTTTCATGACAAACAACCACCCACCCATCGCCATTATCGCGACCGTAATCTGGCAAATCGTCCTCCTATCCTACAACCTCATGTCCGCCACCACCCCCCTCCTCCGCGGCTTCACCCAAGGCTTCAAGACAGCAGGAATGTCGCTCTTCGACATGCCCAACACTACTAGCGCCGCAGCAAGTGGAGCAACCCAAGACAGTGTTGAGCTGCGACTAGTCCCGCGACCCAAAATGCTGCCACAGGACCTCGCCATGTCGATTAATCGAACCGTAGTGCTTGGCGGTGATGCGAAGCCTAAGTCGAGAGCATGTGCAGGCAGACATGGGTATTATGATGAGGTAGCTTCGCTGGATAGTTGTGCGTCAAGATGCATCATGGTGAGGAGGGAGTGGGAGGTCTCGGATGAGTCGTGATTTGAACCTTTGAAATGTATAAATGAGTGAATACGACTTTTGAAAATGCAGTGGAGGGTGGGGTGGGGGATGATACTCTCAATATTTATTCGCTATAGTTATATATTTCGTAATGAGTAAGAATCAGGAAGAGAAGAAAAAAAAAACACAGAGTTTCACATTCAACAAGACAAAAACTTGTGCATGCCCAAGCTCAAAGGATTCCTATTTAAAAAAAAAAAAAAAGAACCCAAATTTATTCATAAATATGTACCCATAAAATCCGACATCATCATATACACATTATGCAGACGCAAAGGGTATGTTGAAGCCTGAAAGCAAGACAAAAAAACGCCCTCTCCCCCACCTCGTCTATACAATTCCTCCATCCTCGCCAAAAGAAAAAACCACGACAACAACAACAAATCAGTAAACCAGATCTAGATACCAGAATCAGTCTGCTCATAAGGCCTATTAGCATCTGGCGCGCTTCCAGCAGGCCAATACTGATCCCACTCATTGCAGCCCTGGGCCAAGCGACTTGTATCGCCAATGGAACCTTTGATTTCGCTCATGCGCTCCATAAACTGCATGGAGAGGCCCTGACTAGCATGCCAGGCAATGTGGCAGTGCATGATCCACATGCCTGGGTTGTCAGCGGGGAAAGCCATGAGCATGTATCCGCCGGGAGGGAGCACGGCCGTGTCGCGACGGGTGGGGTTTTCAAAGTTGAGGTTTGCCGTGGAGCCGTCCCAGGTGCCTTGGCCGCGACCGACAATGTAGTAGTCGTGGCCGTGGAGGTGGATGGGGTGGGGGAGTTGGATGGCGGCTGTGGATTGGATCCACCAGAGGAACCAGCCGGAGCCTTCCATTGTGTGGACGTTTGAGTTGGGACCAAAGTTTTGGGAGCCCGCCAGCACGGTTTCGAGAGAAGGGTTATTCCAGTCGACAATGTGGGGGGTGCCGTCGATGAGCCAGCGGAAAAGGTTGTTCTTGGTGGGGTCCGCGAAGTGGCTCATGTTTAGCTTGTGGTTGACAGCGTCAGCGACAACGGATTGGGGGACGCGGTTGGGGACAAAGGGGATGAGTTTCGACGAGTCTTCGTCGTCACAGCTTGTGCGCATGACCACGGTGGTGGTCGAGGTGGGGTTTGCGGTCTCGGACGCGCCATCGTAGTGCAGTATGGCACCCATTTGCTTGCCAGAGCTGGTGATGGCGTTTCGATTACAGCTGGTACCGACGGCTACGCGGAACCAGTAGTTGCCAACGGTTTGGTTGGCGGTAATGACCACGTCGTAACGCTGACCAATCTGCAGGGTCAACTGGTCGGTGACAAAGGTGTTGATGGGCACAAAATCAGAAGTCAGGACGGTAAAAGGATGGCCGTCCAAAGATACGCTGAAAACGTTGTCAACCGACGTGTTGATGAGGCGGATGCGGTACTTCTTTCCCTTGACAACGTTCATGCGAGCATACTTTCCGTTGTCATTCAGAGCGTTAATGTGGGTGCCGTTGACAAGAATGTTGTCAGGAAGAGGAGGTCCAGTCCTGGAGTGTTGCGCTACCTCGTTTAGGGTAAAGGCCGGGGTGTAGTACCAATCAGTCATGGGCAGAGTACCGAGATCGACATCGTAGTTGGCAGTGGCGGGCCCGTCAATGATCATGGTGCCAACAACGCCGTCACCGTACTGAGCAGACCAGTGAGAGTGGTACCAGGTTGTGCCGAATTGGGTAGCCCTGAACTTGTACTGACGCGTCTTTCCAGGAGCAATTGGACACTCGGTGATACCGGGGACTCCGTCATCCTGGCAGGAGTTGAGCATTCTGATACCGTGCCAGTGAATGCCAGTTCCGTTGTGTGCAAGATTGTTCTTGACGTTAACAATGATGGTGTCACCCCATTTGGCTCGCACAACTGGGCCTGGGTATTGGCCGTTGATGAGCATCATAGGCCTAGAACCACCGCTTCCATCAGGGTTCGGCTTTGTGACATTAGAAATTTCAAAGTCGTACTAGAAAGTTGTCAGTATGTATCTCAGCGAATCAATTAGCATACTTACAACGACAGTGGTTCCATCCGGAGGCGACTTGGCGTCAAAGTCAGTGGCGATACTGTAGCCATTACTCCAGCAGCTTCTCGTCCTTGGTGTGTTGGTGCAAGCACCGTCTTGTCTCTTGACAATCTCTTCAAACGATGGAAAGTCGTCAGAGGCATCCAACGGCTCGGCCCGTAGAGGACTGCTTAGTGCGAGCGAGCCCAGTGAGAGCCAAACAGCTAGAGATTTGAACAACATGGCTGCTGGAATTCAATGCAAAAATGCCAGTAACGAGAGTGTGGCCAGTATATATGTAAAGAAGCTACGACCAAGCCAACGAACGATGAATGAGTTGGAAGCTCAATCGATGGTGAGCATGTATCAACCAGACTGCGGATAGCATTTATATGAAATGTCTTGGAATACACATCCAAACTCACGTCAGTTAGCCCCTTGCTGTGTCACCAACATTATTCCCTTAAGCCACTTTCTAGGCCATCCTACATAGGCTAGTAGGCAGAATCAACGAATAGGCAGCGTAGCCTTGTGTATCCACATTAGTACACGATCGGGTCATCCAGAAGGCGGCCAATAGAATCATACTTCCGATCCTCATTCGGCGAACTTTGTCATCAAAGAGCAAACTCAGCCCAGCAGCTGAAGACTAGAAGTGGTGGCGGCGCACTCACGAGCATGTCGGTAGTTGAACAGCAGCAAAGCCAAGCAGTTGAGGTCAAGGTATCAGGCGGCGCCCGGGTTTGGGACCGCATTCGGATTGCCAGTTACGGGGTCTGGATTCATCGCTACCTTTGTGGCGGTTGGAACTTACCCGGAGCGGTGAATGATGAGCATGTGGAAGAGTTGTAGGATCTTTTTCTGAGGCTCAGAACCCACCGCTCGCGTAAGATGAGGGTCCCTAGCAGGGTGCAGAATCTATTGAAACGCGGGTCGACACACTCCACAAAGTCTTGGTTGGCTGCTGGAGCCTACTGGGCGCCTATCAGGACCGGTGTCTCACGTGAGAAGGCTATCGGCAAGAGGGTGGGGCTTGTGTAAGGTATGCGTGTAGAACGAGGTCAGGAGCATCTGCGAGCCAGGGGTTGAAAAAGCACAGAGTTCACAGGCATTAGCGGATACGGTGTAGAAGGGCTATGCCAGATGCAGTATTGAATGGCGACTTCATGATCCGGCGCTGCGGGAGGCTCCCTCGGGAGGCTGTAACCGGTAATTGTTACTAAAATAGTCATGAGCGGTAGACTTTGTAATGACCATGAGATTTTGCAGCCAGTCGCACGCCATGACGCCATTGGCCAAAAATTATGACTGTGTAAGGCTGACCGAACAAGAAAAGGCAGCAGTAGGTATACAATTTTGTGGCTTACATGGAAAGGTGGAGCTGTACAAACAGTCTTACTGTTCGAACAGAGGGCTGAGTTGAGCCCAGGGCCAGGGACACATCAGAATTACTGTCAGCTGCTGTGGGGTCCATCCATGGCGATTGTCTTGTTGTAGCTGCTTGGCGCCTTGCTGCCGCCTGCATGGTGACCACATAGGCATGATGTGCTTCTTGACCGTGTCAGGGTGCTTGATGGTTCTGCACCTAGTTCAGACGACTATTCGGGTCTCCAGGCAGCCCAGGTGCGACTAACGACCGTGGTGAATGCTAGTACACAGATTGCCGAGGCGGCGACGGCTGGCAAAGCGTGAACTAGCAGTCCTAGCGATTGTCCACCCACAGCCTTCGTAAAGCTGGTCTGCATGCCTGAATGGACAAGGGCGTAAACGGTGGAAGAGGGCAGAATACGGCGAGATAAGATGGGCAATTGTGGCTGAAGGCAGCGTGTCGAATCGGCCGTGACCGCCCAAGGCGCCACGACAAGCGAACGACAGCTATCAATAGCTTTTGGGACCAGGTGGGAGGGTGTAAGCAGCATGGCGGACATCGGGGCCGAGTGGAGTGACGTGAACAAAGATCGGTTCCAGGGGTCAAGGGCGCTAAGCAGGGGCGCCCATCCCGAGTGGCTTCCGTAGCTGCGGCATGTCTCCGCCCCCCTCCCACGTGCCACCAACCACTATCCTTTTTTGCGCCGCAGAAATAGTCTCTGGTAGTAAACACTAGGACGTGAAGTAGCATGGGTCGTGGATCGATTATGCCATGTTTACGACACGCTATCCGCCTGTCCCGCCTGCGTCGTGTCGGCGTCTGCCACCGGTTCGCCTGGTCGTGGCCTAGTCCCAATCTGGACATGGACGACAAGACATCGTAGCGGAACACTGGTGGTCTGAGCAAACCTACTGGGCCGTACGGTTGCAGTCAGAGACTGCAAGAAATAAGCCATGCTTGAAGAATTCTGCTCGCTCTGATAGCCACGCAGATACAAAAAGAGGCTGTGGCCCTGGAGCTTTCAAGGCCACTCCTCGTGTGGTAATCACTTCTCTCGTTTGCATCCATCTTGCACACTACCGGCAACATGTACTCTCGTTCCATCCTCCTCACTTTGGCGGCTGCGTCCATCCCGCTCGTTAGCTCAGAAGACTCGACCTCAGAGGGCATCTGCTACTCGTACGGTGTTGACTTTGTCGACGAAGGACATTACTTCATCGACTCTCAATCCACCGAGGCCTTTAGTGCTGTCTCCTACTTCCAAGGCTGCAACGAGGACAAGGCAGATGTCCTTCTCGTTGCACCCGAGGATACGCCGGGGGAGACTGAGTTCTTGTGTGACGAGATCCTCACTACCCCTGCCGACGAGAACAAACTGTCGACATGTCCCATCAAGAAGAACCAGATGAACTCTGGACACTGGCTTCTCTTGGTGTTGGGCAACAACGGCAAAGGCGGCCAGCCTTTTGCATGGCAGAGAGGTATGTCCCATACATGCTTCCCCCCTCAACTCGATGCTAACTGTCCTAGATCTCTACTTGACTGTCGGCCCACAGGTCACCACCACCTTCACTCCAACAGTGACCATGTCTGTCATCACTACGCCTACCATCACTCAGACTGATATCACCACCTCGACCGACACTATCACTGTCGGTCCCTTCTCGACCGTCACCATGCCCAGCGGAACGGCCAAGAAGATCAAGACTATCACCCCCAAGGCAGTCACTACCACATCCACCAAGACCATGACACGAACAAAGGTCTCCACCACCAGGGAATTCGTTTACACCACCAAGACCGTCACGCCCACCTGCACCAGCCGACCCCACATTGGCAAGCCTGACAAGCCCTGCCAATACTCGCCCACCAAGATCCACCCTGCAGCGTTGGTAACCCCTACAGTCATTCCTCAGGCCCGCCGCTGGGCTCCCAGGGCTGACCGTGTGGCTGACGTTGAGTGGGTGCGTGCTCGCATTGAGGCCGCAAAGCAGAAGCGCGAGGCGGCCAAGAAGCTCAACCGCCGTGCACCTGATGCTCCCACCACCACTGTCACTTTCCAGACGCCCGTCTCCACAACCGTTACCCAGACTGCCGCAGCCATCACTACCACCGAGACTGTGCTGCAATCAACCGAGGTCACCTCGACGATCCCTCCTCCCACTGTTCTGTCTGGTATTCTTACCAGGACGACTACCCTACCTACCCCTACCAAGACCAAGGTCAAGTTCAGCTTCACTACCACCACCACAACCAAGACCTATGGCGCTACCTTCACCAGGACCACCACGGCACCTCCCGCGCCTTCAGTGACTGAGTGCAAGAAGCAGGGTGGACACTACTGGTGGAACTAGAATGGCTTAGACTATTGACCTACTCTTTTCCTGTGTTTCCTGTTGTTTCCTGTTGTTTCCTGAGCGTTCGTTGCTTACATGCATTACGATAAACTGTACATAATGACCCAGAATACCAATCCAATGATAATCTCTATCCTCGTCCACTTGATACATGTGCCTATGCTAAGCACCCTTGTTTCCCTGCGCGCTTGTCCTGCATTCTCGCCGAAAACGCAACCAAAGCCACTGTATACATGCTGTGAGGCTGTACTATCCCCGGTAGGCAACCTCGCCTCGCAAGTGCCCTGCATTAGCATGCCTCAGCTACGTCAAGCTGAGGACGCCGAAACGGTCCCGTAAGCGAATCCTCAGCGAATCCTATGCCGGCTCAGACGGAATGTTCTACCGCCTCGGGGACCAACAAAAAAAGAGATACACATGCCTGGTACTGGTCAGCCTTGCCCCCAAAGCAATGCCCCGTCCATGCTGACGCCTTGGGACCAGGGCCGAGGTATCGCTGCCTGCTGCGAATCCATTCCATCCTACCCACTCGTCAGCCCCACGCAGGCAACCAGAGTCCTGGCTCACGGGTACACGGCTTATGTCGTTTTTCCCTGTCTTAACAGACCCAGCACTTGACACGACATGGCCGCCTTGCATGTCGCTTCCGTCCAACAAAGGTGAAGAGCAAGGGAACAGCACGAGAATCATCGCCAGCGTACTAGGTGCGCCCTGTCGCCCCCTCCATGGTCGAGCAGAAAGACAGGTTGGCAACACGAGAGCGCGTGGGTCGTGCTGACGCTCGCGCGCCCCCCAGCATCGTATCGGCTACGTACGCATGGCGTTTGCAAAACAAAAAAACGTCGCAACGCCTCATTCGCTCTTGGATCTCGCTACACAAAACGAGAAATCATCATGTGCAATGTGGCTTGCAACCCCAGAGAAAAAACCAATCTTGGATGCAATTCCCCCAAGAAAAAGGGGTGAAATCAAGGCAAGAGTAAAACAAAAGACAGACATGGACTAGATGCTCGAGTCGAAGTAAAGTTCCAGATCGCCGGCATGGATCTCTGGATCTCCTCACCGACGTCCGAAAAAAAAACAGCACATCCCGCCATTCCCCACTGCAAGGCTTCGCTAGCGAGATACCCTATTCTCGTCGTATCTCCATGCTAGACATGTGTGCGCGTCATGGGTACCTGTTCCGGTCGGAGCATTTGACAAATCTCAAGAAGAAAAACATTCGGGTGGATATCCCATGAAAAGAGAATTAGCGCATACTACCACTTAATCGTAGTCCATGGGCATTTCGAAAAAGAGATCGTCCCCCCCAAAAATACCCCATACAGACAGTGTCAACTTTGGTACGCCAACACAAGCGCACTCCAAAATAACTTTCTTCCACCGCGTTCCTGCGTTCAAACCGGCGCTGCATGACCTACGCACAAGCGCGTTCGAACCGAAGGAGAAAAAGGCAAAAATCGGCGTTCCGACATGGACATACGTGTGGCGTAAGGCCCTTGTGTCTCTGTCGCCTTGTATCGGTGTTCCTCGCTGCACATTCCTACGCCTCCGTCAGCAAATGCCAGAGAAGTTGCTGCCTTTGACATGGCATCGCATCGCATCGTATCGTATGCCCTTTTCGCCCTGCCTCTTGGCTTACAAAAATGGGCGTATGATGTCTAAGCCCAGCCAATACTCCTCGCCCACCCCCCGCCTTCTTTCTCTCTCTCCTATTTTCTATCACGATGTCTTGCACAGCTGGCGCATAGCAGCCTCCCAATGAAACTCGCAGGGCTTGTTTTTCTCCTTCGCTGTCTGTTTGATGTGGCTGTAGTAAAGTCTTACGGGCGCCTTATTAGACATGGTATGAAGGCATGCAAGCAAGGATAACCAGTAGAAGGGATTAGATAGGACAGGGCTTAGTCAAGTGCCCACACCTCTTCGCCGGGCCATTTTCTTGTTCGCTTTTGGTGGTAGCTTGCTCGCTACCGGGGAAGAGCGAGCGTGGGATTGGATACCCTGCATACGCGCGATCCAACAGTACGCTGACATGTGGATTTTGCCAACTCCATTTGATGCAGGCGTTTTTGGGGGCAATGTAGAGTAGTATTGGGAAAGCGCATGTAGACTGGGTACTACGTAGTATCAGCAACTAGGACTAGCACTGCCCAGAAACAAAAAATCCTCCGTCGCTTATTCTTCCTGCATCGACATCATCACCCTGTCTAGTCATTTTCCCCATTCCCATTACGAGTCGAACACCGAGATACACTGACCACACACATGAACATGCTCACCACTCTTCTCTTCCCAAACTCAATCTCTGCAGTACCCGCTTCTGCACCGGAACGGGCGTTCAAGATAAAGTCAGTGGCGTTAAACTTTTGTCTCAATAAGCTCTTAGACTTTCGGCATGCCGCACGCCCCCCCCCCCCCCCCCCATCAAGCCCTCAACTAGCAGATACGGATCGATAGCACCGGGCGAGCACGCGTGAGAACCAACCAACCAAACCAAACCAAAACCTTGACTGGCAAAGCTTCGGGACTTTGATCGTGCACCAGAAAAAATACGAACTGCCAAGCCCTACCTCAAACACATGGCTATCGTATTTGTCGCTATGCGGAATATGCGGAAAATCCTCAATCCTCATGACTCAACCTTCACATTCCCTCCCCCCTCAAAACACACACACACACATACACGAGAAACTGCTGCCGAACATGAATCCACTGTGCAAAAGACATTCCTTCCCACCGACCCCGAGTACTGTACAACCAATGCCCCCTCCCAAAATGTGGATCCCCTTACCTAAACCCATCAGGCCCTCCACCCTCCGATCTCCACCACCACCACTGATGTAAGTATCCCTCCTTCTCTCCCCCCATCAACAACACCAACGACTATTTCCCTCCCATGACGGGGGGGGGTTTTTTTTCTCAAAGGCCAACCGGTGAGTGTGGAGTTTTTTCTCACCCACCCCCAAGAACCGAAAAAAATTTGCTATACATGGATGGTTTTTCTGCCGATCGTTTTTGTTGTCGAACAAGGGTCCAGCTTAAGGTAGAAACTCAGCTTGCTTACAGGGTAATGTCTATGTTGTGTCGTTTGATTTTTCTGCTTTGGGAATTGCGGCGTGCCAGCGCGGTGGGCTGGGCGGGCGGTGGCAGGGGTGTGGGGGGAGGGGGGGCGCAGATGTGGGTCCTTTTGGGCTGTGTAAGAGTCAGGTGATTTGAGAAGATGGAGGTTTTAGGATATGGGGTTTTTTTTGCAGGTTGGCTGAACTGGCGAGGACGGCAGTTGAGATGGTGGTTTTTTGGGGTTTGCTACGCTGAGTCGGGAGTGGGGTTGAGGAGGTGGAGGTGGAGGTGTTGAAAACGCCACTATCTAGAGATTCAGCTGGAGGTTTTTTTGGGGGTGGGTTAGCTATTTTCAGCGCAGAGGGGAATACATGATGCATGTGGTGGGCTTGGGGAGAGGCGTTGAAGGATGGAAGGGAGCAAGTGGTGAGTATACGACTTGGCAATAGAAGTGGATCAACGTGAACATACGATAGTATCGTATGAGACAATTGTGTGTCACTATTACTAACTCGTATCCCGAACTGACATATGGTGCATGAAAGTCTTGGGATGGCAGAGAAGCGGCCCGCCCTTTTCTGTTGAGAAAACCAAAAAGAATCAGTAGTGAGAGCTGCGTTCAGCAGAATTATGAGTAAACATATTCTTGTCTTCACTGCCAGTTCAAGTCTCCACCTCCCATGTCAGTGTCTGCCGGTCTGCAAACTGCATGATAGTCCAGGAATTTGTACCTCCAAAACCACTTGCGCTCATAGCAAACCACTGTGCTTCACCTCCCTCGACAATACTACTTCCTTCCATACTGAGGTCTCCTTGCGCGCCATTTCCCTTCTTTTTATTTCTGAATGCATCTTTGCGGATAGCAAGGAAGAGACTGCGAACGAAAGCTGGAGATATAAACCCCTTCCAGCGCATGACAACCATACGACATGACCCGACGCCTTTACCAAAATCTGGCACCTCGTATCGTGATAGATGGTGATTGATGTCGTCCCCTTTTCTAACGCGCGGCGAATCGAGACTGACCATGTGGAGGTATTCCAACAAGCCCAGTGCATCTTCCTCCGCGTACAAGTCTGCGAGGTCGCCCGGGGAAAATTGAGGCACGAGAACCTCCCCCAAACTCGACTGCTCAGGTACAATGTCATGTAACCAAGGCGAGTGTTTCAAAATGACTTCTTTTCCTTCACTCAACGACTCGGCAGACGAAGGATTGAAGTTATAAAACAGCCAGGTAAGCGAACGATCAAGAACGTTCTTGCATGCCCACTCTAGTCTTGAGAAGCCACTCTTGCCATGCTTAGCGGAAGTGGCGCGCAAATCATACTCGACGATCCACCGTTGCTTTTGATGTTTCTTTCCGCCGTCTTCGATCGGTGTGCCATGCAAGCCGCATCGTTCATACGTTGGGCGTGTGAGCTCCATCCGTAGAATACCATCATAGAGCTCAAACCGATCGTCTACAAGCGGCCGGCCTTCGCTCAGCATCGCAATGCTTCCTTGCTTGATGTACCCGTCCAAGAACTCTTTGTCCAAGATTTCTCCGAGCTTCATATGTACTCGTGCATACCGTGCTCTTGCTGGACCATCATTCCGCTGTAATCCATCTTTTAAAAGCTCATAGATTTCTTCCGGGAGTATCAAGTCGAGGGTGTGGCTGTACTTTTGCTTGTTCAATGCAGAGAATGGCTTCTTTTTGGTGGAGACATTTTGTGGATCAACATAAGACGGTAGAATGCTGTGTGAAAAGTAAATCTTTGTGTCCTGTGTGTGATCAGGGCGGTGGATGTCAAGCATTTTGTAGCCTACACCAAGGCTTGTCCTGGATCTGGAGTGCGAATGACGGCGTTTGGTGTCTTGATAGTGCGTGAATGTGGGGCAATCGCGTCTATTGCGAAGAAAACGCGTTGTGCTTAGCGCGGCGCGCTAGCATGTGAGTAGTACCCCACAGTCAACTTCACCCCACTTTGCACCTTTTTGGAATCATCAAACTATCTTTATCTTTCCTCACATGGTCTCGACATCACTAGATAAAGTAGGTGATTACAAGTCAATCGATCTTCAGGATTGCAGCAATGGAATTTTCACCACTTCCACCTCCATCACCAAGGTCATACCGGAGAAAAGTAAGAGAAGAAAATCAAATCCAAATGGTAATCCTAATCTATAGCGAAGAAGATCTGTGAATACGTCTACGTTACGAAAGTTCTTTTTCCATTCAGTGACCGATCACAGAGCAAAGCATCTTCTTGTACTAAAACAAAGTAAAAAAGAGAATAGGATCGTCAACGTTCTGCACTACCTATGGTCACAACCGCGTTGAGCGCATCTTTGCCCTCCTTTCAGCCTGGCGGGCTGTAATCTTTTTGCCCGGTTGTGGCTTATTGACTTTGTGGTTGTGCGTAAACCTGGTGATGGCACATATCGAACATGGCCTATCAAACTGCTCTGGATGAGCGTCATGAAATTCTCGTGTGCGGTAAAGTTCCAAAGCGAAAGCTTCCACATCGACGCGTAAGACCCACGGTGATCTGTTGCCTCTAATTCGGTTTGAAGCAAGGGCAGAAGGTGAGAGGTGGTACTGCCTTTCTACTTCGTCGGTCGTCTGCGCCTGCTTAGTCATGTGACTCTTACAAGATCGACTAGAAGGAATGCATACCATGGTTTGACGGTAGAAGCAGTCTCCACAGGCAGTGATAATTCGATTGACGGTTGGAAAGGGGTAGCGATCCAGCATTGCCTGACAATAGACACACTTGCGCGGAGCATGTTGTAGCCATAGTCGCCGGTACACGATGCCACTGAGGTCTGGATAGACACAGTTGGAGCCATACTTGTCAAGATGGGCGAAGGGAAGGTTGAACATGGTACTATTGCATCGGCGGACCAGATGTTCACAGTAGCCTTCAACTAGCCTAAGACATGCCCGGGATGTTAGAGCCAGGGCATTGAAGGGGTGCGAGATCAGGCACAAGGAGAATATATCGGCAGCTCAGCGATCAGTATCTGCAGGCTGAGTGAGATCCTCTTTATCCTTGACGCTACGTTTTTGCTTTTCGGTGAAGCCGTATTGGCTCTGAGTTTCAGTAAGGCCTGGTAGACGACAATGTGGGTGGATGAGGTCCGCTAGTATGCGGTCGACTATCTCAACCGGAAGCGTCGTTAGCCTCTCAGGGCAAGGCACACAGTTTGTTTCGCTCAGCTGGTCCGTAGAGCATGTTGTTGGAGCCCCGAAGTGATGCGAATCAGGTGAGGCTATGCGTAACAAAGGCTGTTGGTAGACTGTCACGGCAGCATTGTGCAACCTGTGGTCAAGTGCAGGTGGACACCGGACCAGCTCAGTCGCAGAAGCAGCAAACAAAGTCATCATGAGCGATAGAAGCAAGATGAAGAGTAGGAAACCCCGCGATTCTTGTTCGAAAAGCCGAATGCCTTATAGTTGACAATAGTTACACGAAGAAATGACATGGAGTATTGGTGCCCGCATGCCACCAACGAGCATGTCAAGACGGCGAAAGCTGCATATCCTGGGCTGTGATTTGTCTATAGTTTCCCAGTCTCGGACGGCTGCGTGCATAGATGCAGCTCGCACGAAGAAATGTTTTCCAAGATGCTGCATGCTGCGGTGGCATGAGATTGGCGAAGGAAACGGCGACGAGTCTCCGCGGCGGTGCATCGGAGGAAGAATGGCGTGCAAACAACAATCAAAATGCGGCCATCTCCGTATCGCCCAAATGAGCCTAGCGCCAAGGCTTCCCAACTCACCCATCTGACCACCTTTTCTCCTCCACTCTCGCCGAGTTACATTGGTTGATAGCGAGCGCGCACGGGAAAACAATATCATGGCTGCCCACGCCTCAGAGGGACCCGTCGCTGTTCACGACTCCGCCCCGCCCCCTGCCCCGGCTGGCAAGGCGGAACACACAGCGAGGGGCGCGACCAAACCCAAAGAAGAGGACGCGCCTGCGCCTGACCACGACGACGAGGATGGTGGCGTCTGGGATTCGGCTTCGCTGTACGAGGAGATCCTGGATGAGGTTGAAGCCTTCGAATACTCTAACGACAGTAAGTTTGACTCTTGTGTGGCGTTGGCCACAGCGATTGACAGTTGTACAGGCAAAGATGTGTGCACTGCTGACGAGGCGCGCCGACTGCGCCAGCGACTGCACGAGGTTGGCGCCAGCCAGTTTGTCATGGAGAATATCACCAGCGAGAAGATGACGGCGCGCAAGCTGTGTACCGCGTTTGGCGTCAGGATACCCAAGTTCCTCGAAGAAGCGCCCGACGAGAACTTCTACCAGTTGCTTGGCCTGGCCATCAACCGCGAGCTCAACAAGCGCCCCCGCCTTGAGCAGTACAAGACCATTGATGACGCTGCGAAACTGCTCCTGGAACGCAAGAACATCATGGTCATCACCGGCGCAGGTATCTCGACGAGCCTCGGTATCCCCGACTTTCGCTCCAAGAACACAGGTTTCTACTCGCGACTGTTGCAGATGGGCTATGACGAGCCCGAGGAAGTCTTTGACATTCACAACTTTGACGAGAATCCTCGCACTTTTTACGCGCTTGCCGGGGACATTATACCCGACCTCGAAAAGTGGACGCCTACGCACGAGTTCATACGCCTCCTGCAGGATAAGGAAAAACTGCTCACCAACTACACTCAGAACATCGATAACGTCGAAGCGCACGCCGGTATACGCAAGGATAAGCTTATCCAGTGCCACGGTTCCTGGGCCACTGCGACATGCCGGAAATGCAAGTTCAAGGTACCGGGTGAGGTCATCTTCGACGATGTGCGCGCACAGCGGCCTGCTGAGTGTCAGCGCTGCAAGGATGAAATCGCAGCCCAGCCTAGTAAGAAGCGCAAACGTCAATCCAACGCCAATGGCAGTAGGAAGAAACGATCGAGCGATGAAGACTCCGAATCCGATGGAGCCTTTGACATTCCCCAGCCGGGCATCATGAAGCCGGATATAACCTTCTTCGGCGAAGCCCTTCCCAATGACTTCTTCGATCGGCTAAAGGATGTGGACAAGGACAAGGTAGATTTGGTCATTGTAATGGGCACGAGCATGAAGGTCGCTCCCGTGTCTGAGATACCCAACTTCCTGCCCCGCGACGTTCCACAGATTTACATCTCACGAGATCCCATTCACCACATCAACTTCGACATCAACCTCCTTGGCGATTGCGACGTAGTAGTGGCCGAGCTTGCCCGTCGTGCGGGCTGGCAACTCAACCACAAAATGATACCCGAGGGCCAGTCAGTTGACGTCACTCTTACCGATGACATGGATCATATCTCCACCGTCAAGGCTCACACCCCAGTGACGACTACAACAAATAATCATATTAACGAACCAGCATGAGCACTAGCTCATAGCCTTAGTATTTTGTGTGTTCACGGCGTTATGACTGGCATTACGAGTGGTGTTTTTTCCTCATGTTTTTTGGGTCATTTTAGATCGAGACAGGGGCATATCCTGATTCCCGCAGTCAGTTGCTTGATCTTCCATAATGGAAACTCGGAGTAGGGCGTTGTGGTGTGATTGAACATCAAGAGAGAGGTTGCGGGGTCCGGCATGAAAGATACCACAGATCCGAGAGCATGTGTGAAAGGAGATGCTATCATGTAATCTCCATCAACTCTATCTCCTTTTGTCATGCACATAGAGCTTGTCTTGTCTTGCTTTTTTTTCTCTATGTTCAGGCACAAGAATACAGTTACAGTCTCTTTCTCTCAACAAGGTTCGGATTGTGTGACTATTCTTTTTGGTGATGCATGTCAGGAGCCAGAGGATGGCATTGAGGCATTGTTGCCTTTGTCTCTCCCATTGTGTTACCTAATGAACTTCGGCTTAGGTACAGCAGGAAAGATGTCATAGTAGTCGAGGCAAAGCCACAGCCCACGCTACGCCCGTTGCCGTTCAAGCCACACTCAAGCTACTCTACACGATACCTTATTAGTCAACTTAATTGATTCAACATGTCCAGTTCTCTAGATAGGAATATCGTATCTTATAGGTGTTCTCTGCAAGGAAATCACCGCTCGGATATCGAGTTCCCTCAGATCCTAGTGATCCCACAGCCTTAGGTAACGGGTAGATGCTAAGTACATAAACGGGTAAACTTCGGGCGGGGGCTGTCCAGGTTGAATCGACATGTTTCACTTGCCGCTCAATGCTTTGTACGTTTGTCAGTCCCAAGAATCACTACCTAGAGCGGCGGATTCATGCGCGCTAATTCATCTCGCTGTAATCATAGCATGATCCCATTTTCAATCTAGCCAACTTACGTAAATGACGTTGCAAACGAGACCCTCTTCTCTACTCCCAACGCCCGCACCCTCGTACACGCGTCGCAATTTCAAATGGGCTGATAGGGAAAGGGTGTAGTCGAGACATACGTAGCTAGGATAGGAGAAATTTCGCTTTACCACCACGGACACGAAGCCAAGCTTTTCGGTGCAGCACGTCATCCACGGGCGGCCCAAGCCAAGAAGCGCACAGTCCCAGCTGACGACAATGTACTCCACACCTCCACTCCACCACATTCTTGCTCGAGCCTCACGTATAGCATAAACGCTTGTCTTGAGACCTGGTGGAAACAGCCATTTGATCACGCGTAGTATTGTCACGGCAGTGCTCTAACTCATTGGCGTAAATGTTAGGGAAAAAGTGCACTTTACAACATAACGAAATGTGTTCCAATGCGGCGGCCTAGGTTTTCTTCTCGATCATTGATCATCGTCAAACTTGCCTGCCCGTTATCACAACGCTGATCGCAATCCCAGCCGCCTTCCCCTGTTTTTGTCAAGGATTCAATCGCGAACACCATTCTTCTACTTTCCAGCCGCGCGGTACCCATCTCAGTCAGCACCTAAAATGCAGCCTGGAGTGGCTTGCGAATTGGCGTGTTTGAGAACATCACGGTGCACTGGTCATCAATGCCGCCAAGTCAAAGTAGGGCTACACAATTCTTTCGGCATCTATGATGAAGTATGAGATGTTGGTAGGAATACATGCAATTTGCGCTGACGCTTTGCGTATACATGCAACACATTCACAGAATGCACATACTAAGAGACCTTCATACGATTCTACCAACACTTACTATCCCTTATGAAGAAGGTACGATTGAACAAGCCCAAGCATCAATGCCAAAACACATCACCGTCTTGGCACAATCCCTCCGAAACGGGCATGATCAGGGTGATAAACGCCACCCGCAGCCGGGCTAACTACCTCCGCGCACTGTGTTTCAAACAAATGAGCCTTTTTTGCCAAGGCGACTGCGAATAGTCCTGCAACATGGTGATCGACCTTCACTTTTACCGTCTCGATAGTCCAAACATGGTTTCAAGGCTCTCACTGAGCAGTGGGGCGATTATGAACCCACTTTACACGCAGATCCTAGTTACGCAAAACGTTTCCCCATGAACAAAGCATGCTGTCTGTGGGCATTCGAGAACGCATTGGTGAGATGAAGAGGTGGGTACGCAGTATAAGAGGGACAACGTAGCCATCCTTCTAGAAAAACCAACTCTCTTCATCGAGCCAGCACCAGTCCTCCACACCCCACACTCCTTTAGTCTCTATTTCCTGTTTTTCTGTGCTTGACGCACCTCCTTCGCTAGTCGAACTCAACCGCACTCCTTCCGAAACAAACAACTTTCGAACTTTTTTTTTCACGCCCAAAACTACTATCAAAAATGAAGGCCTCTATCGCTGCCTCTGTTCTGGGTTTCGCCCTCGCCGCCTCAGCCGGTCCGGCTCGCATCTACCCCCGAAACTTTTACACAATGATGAAAAGAGGCTCGCTGCCTGTGCCTCAGGGTAACGGTACCGAGACCTTCTCCGAACCCAAGGAAATCACCGGTGTCTTTGACGGAGGCCTCAAGACATACGGCCGTGGCGTCTCTTGCACGGGCCAAGCTGAGGGCGGAAACTCTGACGCCGTGTTCCTGCTCAAGGACGGTGCTACTCTCAAGAACGCCATTATTGGCAAGGACCAGATCGAGGGTGTTCACTGCGAGGGTTCTTGTACAATTGAGAATGTGTGGTGGGTATCTGTATGTGAAGATGCTTTGACACTCAAGGGCGATGGCGACGCTACCGGTATGTTCAACCCCTTACTTGCTTCATTCAAGCAATGAAGAAAGAAGTGAAGAAAAAAAGTATATAGCTAACACCAATCCACAGTCATCGGAGGCGGCGCCACAGCCGCACAAGACAAAGTAATCCAGCACAACGGCAAGGGGACCGTCACAATCGAAAACTTCACCGTCGATAACTTCGGCAAACTCTACCGCGCCTGCGGAAACTGCAAGGAGAGCGCAGAGCGCCACGTCGTTATCAAGGGCGTCAAAGCGTCAAACGGAAAGCTCCTTGCGGGTATCAACTCGAACTTTGGTGACTCTGCTACGATCGATGCGGCTACTTGTGCTACGGGTGTCAAGGAGATTTGCGAGGAGTTCAAGGGAACGACGCCTGGTAATGAGCCGGATTCCGTGTCAACGGGCCCGTCGAGTGCTTGCAAGTTCTCGGGGTCCATTGCTGCGTGCTAGATGGGCTGTGTGGGATGGGGATGATTGCTGGAAAATGTTGTCATCGCCCCAGTCATATACAGCGTAGCATCTATGATTTATTTTTCTTGTAAAAAGTTATTTTTTCTGAAACATTGACTAAACATCAAGTAAATATAACAAGACCTTTTCTCTCTCTCTCTCTCTCTCTCTCTCTCTCTCTCTCTCTCTCTCTCTCGATATCTTATGAATTGCATATCACAGCAACACTAGTCTAAGGTCTAAGATCTAAACTACAAGGAACTGGAGGAAAAGAAAACGCACTGTATCCTTTTCCCCTTTCGCACGCGGAAATCTCAGTGCAAAAAAGCACTGCCGCCCCAACTTACTCCCTCTTCTTCCCCTTGGGCACACGGAAAGCCCAGTACAAAAACACTGCCGCCACAATGTTGAACGCCACATACACCCACAAGAGCCCAAAATCCCTCCACCTCGTATCCCACTTCACATGCACCCTGCTCAAGAACTGGTCCGTATTATCCAACTGACAGTACCCACATTCTGTCGTCGCATTCGCATCCCGCAGGTACCCCCCAGCCATACCGATATACTCAGCCATGTACTCCCCACACGTCCTGCCCTCTGGCGCAAAGAAAGTCTGAAACTCATTCGCGGCACAATGCGCGGGCGCCTGTCCGAGCGTCGTAGCCAAAAAGCTCGACACAAGATACGTAAACGGATTGACACGATACATGAAGATCCAGAAGCCGGGCAGATCATCTTTGTTAGCCAGAATGCCGCAGAAAGCGTACATCATAATCGTTATCAACGTGGCGTACGCTCCTGCTATTTCTTCGCCGGGAGAGCCAGCGATGAGTAGGTGGGCCAGGGTGCTTGCGAAGAGGAAGACGGTAATGATGATGAGGAGTGTGTGGAAACTGCGGATGTGGACGGAATCCGTGGCTTGCGCGTTGCGATACAAGCCCGCGGGATAGTACCAGGCGAAGAAGCAAGCAATGCCCATGATAGCGTTCCAGAACATTTCGATGGCGATGTTGGACAGTACAAAGGCCTGCCAGGCGTACGTCTTGGACTGGCGCTCGCGGGCTTCGTAGAGGGTGCGCTGCAAAATCCACATGGGCAGGATTTGGTAGATGAGCTGGATGACGACGAAGAGGAAGATGAAGACGCCAAACATTTGGTTTTGCAGGCCTTGCATTGTGTTTGTGCCGTCGATGAAGGAGAAGCCGATCATGAGGGAGCAGCCGATGGTTAAAATGGCTTTCGAGTACATGTAAGAGGGGGTTCGCCAGTATTGTTGAGCACAGCGGAGAGCGACAGCGCGGAATTGGTCTGTGAAGGATGCGGCGAATTCTTGTTGGCTGCCTTTTGCGGCGTCCATGACAGCTGACGGTTGGTTGACTAGTTGGCGCAACTTTTCCAGCTCCATTTGGAGTTGTTCGAACTCTGAACTGCTTTTCCAGACCGTAGGCCAGTCGATCTCGGTTTTGGCTCCGGGCGCCGCACCAATTGCTTCAAGCATGTACTCGGCTGGGTTCGTGCCAGGAGGACATTTCGGTGCACCGTTGCGTTGGAAGTAGTCGAGGAGTATATTGGAGTCGCGCCCAATGTCGCCAAAATACACTGTGCGTCCACCTTTGGCGAGCAGGAGGAGACGGTCAAATCGCTGGAAAAGAAGGGACGATGGCTGGTGTACAGTGCACAGAATTGCTTGGCCGTCTCGAGTCAGCTTCTCCATGAGATCACAGATGGACCATGATGTCTGGGAATCGAGACCAGACGTAGGCTCATCAAGGAAGAGAAGTAGCTTCGGGCGAGCGGCGAGTTCAACTCCGATGGTTAGACGTTTGCGCTCTGATGCAGTCAGTATTTATCTCGGTAATGGAAAAACAAAGGGCTATTGTACTTACGCTCTACATTGAGGCCTGATCCCGGGACACCAACAACTGCATCTGCATACTGTTCCATATCCAGGAGCTTGATGACGTGGTCGACATATGCCAATCTCTCTTCACGACCATATTCCGGCGGCTGTCTCAGTAAAGCAGAAAACTCTAGAGCTTCTCGTACAGTAGATGTATCCAGGTGAATGTCTTGTTGCATGCAGTAGCCCGTTTGTCGTTGGAAGGACTCGTCTCGTCGTCGGCCGTCTACCAAGATATCACCACCGATTACACCCATTGTGGTTCGGCTGGCCA